ATAAATGGACGATTAAAACAATGATAAATTCAGATGAAATTAAGAATTTTGGAGGAAAGTAATTTCGGTAGCCCAATGATTTAAGCAGGCCGCATTTTTTGTGATGGAATACAATAAACTCAAAACAGATGATTTTCTCAAGATAATTTTTTTAAACTGCAGCTACTTAATGATGATGATAATATTTGAACGTCGTGCTTCAGTGGTGGAATACTAGTCAACCCCACTTGAAGTGATCCCGGATTCGACCTCTGAAAAATGGGCTCCTAAATCCAAACTAAAGGAAGTAAAACCGTTAAAGAGGGAAGGTTGGCCATGTGAATGGCAACCATACCTTGTAAAAAAACAAATATCACTCCTACTGAAGCTTGAAAGCTGAAGCTTGAAGCCTTATCTTCCACTCGAAATGAGAAAGAGTAAAATAATGAAAATAAGTAACACTTATACCACGTGTGTTGACGGCGTGCCATACATGTTGTCCACCATTCGTATCTTCTTTGACCTTTTAAACATAATTAGAATTTTAATTAATAACCTGCTCCCTAAATATAGTAACTACAGAACTATCTAAATGGCTTAATCGTTTAGGTTTGGGATTCTACCGTAGTACTCATTCAGTACCCAACCTGGGATTGAGTTAGAACCGTCCGTGCTAACTTTCAACCAGTAATACTAATTTCTGCAACACACAACTGATGTCTTCTACAGATTCTCAGTTTATCACGGCTAATATCCATTGTTTTCATTTAGAAACTTCCCTAATGGTGCGTTTGCTAAGTCGGATCTGTAATGCACGATTTTTTAAAATAACTTCAAAAAATCCACCCTGATGCTAGTCAGCAATAAGAATTCTAAATCTATGAAAAAATAAGCTACCAAGATCACTCTGGTGTCTAATAACTGCGTATTCATGAAGAAATCGATTAAAATGTCACAAATTGAACAAATTCGCCTTAATCTATTCCACTAAATATCGACAGATATTTGCAAAGTACTTAGGATCAAAACTTGGAAATAACCATTGATAAAATTAGGCTTTGCTTTGAACGATCTTAAGTATGTAGCCATTTTGAAGTACTAAATGTCCTCATTACTTCAGTGATCTCATTACTGATTCTCATGTCCTTGTAGTTTATCCTTTTTAACTCACAGTCTGTAATAATTTGTTATGAGTTATATTATCCCTCATTTAAGGGTGCCTTAACTCTCCTGATTCGAAAAATTATTCCTGCATTTTTATTCTAGAATTATCAAATGGTTTTCCAATAGTCTTTTTGTGTATAAACAAAGTTAATCTAATTTTAGCAAAGGCTAAATTTTCATTCTTATTTTTGGTTTAATTCAGTTATTGGAATAGGTCCCTAATATTCCACATGATGAATCACCCACACATATTGTCTTTGAGAGCTGATGATATGCTACTCAGTTGCTCCGGGTGATAAAGCAGGCGGAGCTAGCGAGATTTAAGCCTGCGACCCAATAAATGAAAGTCAGTCACCTAAACGAATGAGCCAAGTCTCCATCCATTTTCACACACTGTTTTAATATTGAAATGTACCCATGTTTTATTAATTTAATGGGTCTGAGTAAACATTGTCAAAGTTGACATTAAAATGTTTATCTATGAGGTCAGTTTGAATGAATATTAAAAGATTCGCCTAATTGATAACACACTGCCTATTGGTATCAACACAGTAAGTGAGTGGTACTGTGTTCACCGAAACACTTGACACTTTTGTGACTACATCTCGAATAGTGTAGTAGGTGTTCACTTTTGGAATTTCAATTTACTTAACATTAAAAGGAAAAATGTCTATGAAGGATATTTTTTTTATTCCTAACTTTACTCCAATGCTATACGTATACACAATATTCGTAAAGGTCAGGGAAATACATGTAAAGGTCATTTGTTCATATCACTTGTTAACAAAATATTTAAATCTACTATTCAAGAAATACTAATAAATAATGTGAACTAAAAACAACAGGTGATGAGCGCTGCTCAGCAATGATTTCCATTAAAACGTATACCCGCCTGGAAACAGAAAAACTGTTCAAAATATTGTGAAAAAATAATAATAGTAACAGCAATAATAGCTTTATTCTGAACAATGTTCATATAGTGTGTAGATATTTCAGAGGAAATTATTGCATAACTCCATTATGGATAAAATTTACTTCTCATAAAATTACACAGTGTTTCTTATACAGTAATACTTACTGATGACGTCTCAAGCACAATTTATTACAACTCAAAACCATATCAAGGCACTCACACAACTTTCTTACTTCATTTATATGCATGAGTAAAAATTGATGATTAGACATTTGAATGATAACCAATATAAAACAAAGTACATTCAGAAATAATATTACGTATTATATTACACAATAATATATGTATATAAGGAGGGGACATCTGAGGCCATACGTAAGATTCTCAATAAAGCAGGAATTAGGGTGGTATTCAAACCTACAAACTCACTCAGGTAGGACAAGTTCTGTAGGCTAAAGAACAAAATAATATAATTTACAAAATACCTTGCAATGACTGTGAGTGAGGTGAAACTAGTAGATCAGGAGTAGTGCGATTATCAGAACATAAGAATTTAGCTAAGGTCCAAAAGATTGATTCCATGAAGATAAGTAATTTAGGAAACAGCTCAGCAATTGCACTGCATAGATTAACACACAACCACACAATGGGGTGGGTGGGACAGAGTCAAAATTCTAAAAAGTATTATAGGTAGGTGGGGAGAGGGAGAGATTGATTACTGAATGCTGATTCATCCAGTCTACGCCCAACAAATGTAATACAGGTGACTCAGCGCAGATACAAGAGATATGGAAGATGTTATCACCAGTCGAATCAGCAAATGATGAATTCACATTATAACATTCTAACAAGTTACTTATTTTTACTGTTAAAAACATCTTATTTCCCATCTTAATTTATTTTATTGACGACACTAATAATATTATTTCCCAAAGTACTCTATCTTGTATTGATTTTATCCAGATATCAAATCGATTTCTACTCATGTATATATAAATGAAGTAAAAACGTTGTGTGGATGTCTTGATACGATTATTAAACTGAGTAATAAATTGTGCTCGGAGCATGGTCATCAGTAAATATTACTGTATAACAAGCACTATGTGATTTTATCAGAATAAAATTTTACCCATAATGGAGTTATACTCTACCACCGTGACCAAGTTTTATCCTTATATCGAAACTATCGCATAAGAGTTTCGTTGTCCAATATCCTCAAGTAAAATAGTAACTAACAGTGAATTGAGTGGCACACAGTGCTGTTTGACCTGAAGCGAAAACCGATATCTTATAACATCTCTTTTTTACTTCCTTGGAGACCTGCACAACATTTGTTTGAATGGTGTAGGAGTTAATTTTTTGTATCATGAATAATCAGCATCCAAATATTATTGAAAACAAAACACTGATATTAACAAAACACGTAGTTCCGCGAAGAGTCTCTTCTCGGTGAATTCATCCACTCAACTGTACAATCGCAATTACATTTACTTAGTTTTGTATGTGTCTTTATATTAGGTTTATCCGAGGTGGCACCTGGAGTAAAGGTTGAATTTTTCTCAATCTTTTGATTCGTATCCATAAGATGTGACAATATGGGACTCTTGATTGACTTTACAACTCTCTAACCTGAGCAGGTTGGACAAAGCTCAAGAGACTGACGCTGGGCCTTCCGAGTCGTTCTACTTATATAACTATCTCCACAAGAACAGTTAAATTTATAAATTCACATTGAAGCTACAAGACTCGATAGCTTATCCCTCACCTGCACTGGGATTATACAACAAGTGGTGAATTTTAAACCCTACAGTGTTGCCGTGGAATCTTTCTTGCTATTGCTTTTTGTAGCTTCAATCCCACTAATTCACTGGTTGTGTCTCCATTGAATGGTAAAGTCATATGTACTTGTTTCTTCTGGACAGTTTCTAAGCCTTTCTCTCTATCTATTCTCATCACGGAAACTCTAACACATTTTTCTGTATATCTATTCGCATGATATGTTTTTTATTAGCTGCTTGCTTAAGTCGTGTTCTTAAATTAACTTTATGGGAATTTTCAAATTTTCAAAAGAATGGATACTGAACCAAGAGTACTCTTCTCGACAGATTCATCATAAGGCTCTACAGTTATATATACATTATAGTGAATGAATGAATAAATTAGTGTTATGAACTACATTAATGTTGTTTAAATAACATCTAATCAATAATATTGATAGATCACAGCTCAATAGCATTAAAATAAAATAAGCTGAATGTCAGACAAGCAAATTAGGAAAGATAATATTACAAATTCATGAATTTATAGTCTCTACTGAAGGCCGGTCAGGGCAGTAGTAGGGGCTGGACTTGCTTCTTTTGAATACAGAGCACTGGTTGTTTGAGGCGAATTGCAATAGCCTCTGCTGTTTGGAGTATGCGGTGCTTCGATAATTTTGGCAATGTATTAGGCACCGGTAGATGTTAGAGAAGGATTCTTCCACGCTGGATTTGTGACCGGTTTGCACCAGATGGTCCAATATCGAACTTTTAATGGTTTTCACTTCACCTTTACTTGGCCATTCTGGAGATGTTCTCGAGAACGAAAAATAAAGTTCCTAGAGCAACGGCCAATATAACTCGCGCCACAAGCAGCGCAGTTGAATTGGTAGGTAAAATTTGAAGTGGCTAGTCTAGGTGCTTCATCTTTCAGTCGAGGTAGCACCATCGGTCCTGTAGAGAATAAAATTGTTAAATTGTTCAAATTGTTAGATAATAACAGTTGAGTTATGCTTACATTGATATTATTTCCTCACTAATGCTTCTGAAATACTAATCTGAATAACATTTCAGTCCTAATTTTTTCTCTTCTGGTTCTTATTTTCAGACAATTGTGTTATGCTAAAATCCTAATCAACATACACCGCTGTAATTTGAATTTTTGAGTACAATAAGCAATAATCAACATGCCTACACCAAGTATATTTATAAATTCAGCTCAGGAGGATGATAACAACGGCGGGGGAAGTTTGAAAGCGTCAGTCAAATCGAAACCAGCATTAAATCTTCCTGTACCAGAATTAAAAATTGTTAATGATGATGTTGATGGGGAGGAGAATAACGTGTCTAGTGATGATGAAGATGTCATGACAGCTGAAGAAGAAGCTGCTGTTGCTCGCCGATTTCTCGGTGGAGGTGAAGTGACAGAACAAAGGAGGTAAACTTTTTTTAAATAGCATGTTTACTACTCAAATACATGTATAAAATATTACTGAATTGGTGTGTGTGTGTGTGTAAAAAATGATCGTTTCTTGCTTAGGTGCTTAGTGTTAGCTGACCATTTATTAGATTTCACAGATACAAAAACAATTTATACTTGACACAATCTCAACTCATACTCTTTGAAGTACTTTACTTTGTGAACTGATTACTAGTGTCTACTTTGTAGTAGCAGTCAGATTTATTTCCACATCTTCATTTATACATTCTGAAATAACTGGAACAATTATCACATCTATGAGTGTCGGTAGCATAGTGGTTAGGAAACTCGCCGACCATGCACATGGTCCGGGGTTCGATCCCCGGCCACTGACGCACTCTTTACCTTGCTAAGCCAGAAATAATGCTGGTGAAGAGGAAAGGTTTGGCATTAGGCTAGCAACCCCATCCTGTAAAAATAAACACCACTGCAACAGGAACTTCAAGCCCCTAGCTTGGAGCCCAATGTTCCACTGGGACGTGAAGGAAAGGAATAATAATTATTATCACATCTTTCGTAGGTTTTAGAAGCCTTTTTCTAACTTATATTAGCAGCCCGAATATTTAAATCAAGCAAAAGCTTGAGCATGAAATTCAGATCAGATACTTTGTCTCTCAGAAGTTTTACAATTGTTCGCTATTGGTCTAAATTTGGAAGGCTCAAAAATCAAGATCGACTTTTGAAGTATTTTGGAATATTTGTGTATACCTCGTTTTCGAAGACATCTGATTCATCTGAAATGTTCGTAACCGCTAGCTGTAGACTATAACTCATCCCACAATTTTCAACTAGCTTCATTTGTGTGAACAGAAATCACTTTTATATTTGCAGAGAATGGAAAAAAAATATATACCAAAAGTTAAAGCTCCATTCTATGAGACGAATTGTTTCGATTAGAATATTAGTCTTCAATAGCAAAGTATTTCATCCTGTTCTCTGCAGTCCTCCTCAACTAGTCCCACAGTTGCCCATGTGCTCCCATATCCTCCTCACAAGATCTTTTCTCTATCACACTCAGACGCATTCACAAGTCATCGCTTCCCATCCAGATTATAATCCAAGGCAAGGCCAACGATATCACTCAACGATCTCCTGAGTATCTCTACGATCCATCTCCACTTTCTTCTGCATCTTTGTTGAGCAATAGGTCCTTGGTTGGCTTGTTCCCAGAGTTTCTGATTACCAATCCTTTTTGAACATTTGATACTCAGTACCGAGCAAGCTAAGGTAGCTGTTGATAACTCTGCAGTCTGCTGGAAATGCTTTCCATGACGCGACAAGTTTCTCGCTTCTACAGAAGAAATAAATGACTTAACATTGGTGTTGAAAGTTCAAATCTTGTTCTTTATGATGAACGGGAGCAGTAGATTCCCAGACTGATCTCACGTTGATGAAGGTGCACTTTATTTTTCCTATTCTGGCTGGTTTCGACATCTTCATCCGTTCCACCAGTAATTGAAAAGATACTGCCTAGTTGAATCAAGTACATGACATCTTTCGAATTTCTTCCGTCGGTAGTGATAGCAGCTTGCTGTTGTTGCTAACTTAACTTCACCGACAAAAGAATAGAAGATGGTAACCAAACATTGTGCAGGGTCACACCAAACTAATTTGCTGACCATTGATGATATGATGTTTTGGCGTGATAGTAAATGCTCCACAATTCAAACATCCATCTAAAAGTATGCTAGAAAGTCAAGATACGAATATCTGTTTGATGGTGGTAAGCACTGGAATCTAAAAAGCCCTTTAAAGTCCTATCTGCACCTCATCAGTCGTTGCACCTTCACTGTAACAAAATACAGCAGTTAAGAGCCTATGTTTACCTTGACTTCACTAGACTGACATATTTCTGAATAACCCATGAGTAATTAAAGGTTTTGTTTAAATAATTATCATTTGAAGTGAACTTCATTTATACTTTCAACATTTATGCGGAACTCTAAGCATATACTTATCTTTCCTCCTATAGAATGTCTTCCCTGGATATGTATCTATTACAACAAGAAGATGTAAGTCTATTCATTGAATACAAGTCGTAATTTTTCATTTATATGTATACATATCAATTTTTAAAGTTATTTAATGATTTTTAGAACTCATCTTAAGTGGAACGCTTGACCTAAAGCTTTGAAGGTTCAATGGTGTTTGTGTTGTTTCTGCAAGATTCGACTGGCAAAGCAGGCCCAATGTTCTTTTCTTCTGGGCCCATTACCGGCTAGTAAAATAGGCGTAATTTAGAAGTACATCCAAAAGGGAATCGAACCTCTAACCACGCACTAGGTCGATGAACGTTCTAACACTGAACCACCGACTAGCGATAGAAATGATGGTTAGTTTAAATCTACTTTAGGCATCTTATTTGCTAAGATACAGATCACTGTGGGGATCAGACTGTTTGAGATAGTCTTAGGTTGGCAGTTTCCCGTAGATTTAATTTCTGATCACTGGTCGGAATCGTCCGCTGCGACCCAGACTTCCATTTCACCTTCAGTCACTACTTTTGAAGTAAATCATTCTTATTTTCTTTTGTTTATTCTACCCAACCTCACTAAGATAAGTTGAATTTTGTCAATAAAACTTGCGTAAATTCTCACTCAGCGAAGTAAATCGTAATTTTCAATTTGCCCAGTTCGATACTACTACAAGTGGAACACTGAATGACGAAGTTGGGAGAATGAGATAAGGACTGAATTCTCATCTCACTCAGTGTGAAACCTCGTTGAGTGTCTTTCCACATACCTGAGTTAGAAAATCACATAGATTATAAATTTCCAATACAGTCAGTCACAAATGACTGTTAGCACTTAGCACTCCAGCTAACACTTCCCATCGAGGAAGGCGACGGGTTGGCTCGGTATGCGTAACACATGTCCTAACCATCTCTCTCAATCAGTGTAACTTCTCAGTCTCGTCTATTGATTTCCCCTCCTTACCTAGCACTCGACGCACAACCTCAATGTTGCTCACCTTATTACACCACTTCACACGGGAGATAAAACCCAGGCACCTATGATCAAAAACAGCTGATCTTTTCATGTCTTCCACTCTCAATGGCCACGTCTCGCAGCCATAGAGAAGGACAGAGCGGACTGCTGAGTAGTACACCCGCCCTTTGGTCGATAGTCTGATATCTCGTTTAAGCCAGAGACGGCGTGAACTAACATATGTGAAACTAGCCTTCTGTATCCGTGCTAAGATTTCTGGGATGGTAAACAGGAACTGGACATCAATCAGTGCATAACGGACATAAGTTAAAGTTTGTGTACCGCTGAATTCGAATCCAAGAGTTCAACGATAATGTGCCCACTTTATAATCTAAGGTTATGTATTTCATTCCTAAAGAAGTCATGCGTAACCATTGTTGACAATTTTTAAATTAGAACACCAAAGTAGCTCTGCGTTGTTTTCATCTTGACGTGTAATCAAATTTCCGTGCACTTAAAATATTCAGTTCAATCTTCATTCAACCATTTTTAAGTTACATACCATAAAGTTGATTTCGGTCACCTAGATATTAGAGAACTTTTCAAATAAATAAAAAAATATGGTATCTATCTCTACACTAAGAATGCATTCTAAAATTCAGTAGTATTCCCACTGAACTATAGATCAATACTAAAGTAATCGAAGCCATGACATTTATGAGAATGACCTTGAGAATATGTATCAGCTTATTTATTTATTTATTTACCTGTATAGTATCAACAATCTGAATTAAAATGCCATGTAATCCGTCAGTGGTACACCAACGAATTCTCTTCTAAAGATAAGTAATGTGTGACTGTTGATTACCCAAAATGATAAAGAATGAAAATAATGCTTCATGTTCAGAAATTTTTTTGTCTTTAGCCATATATACTACTTAAATGTTGTGGGTAATAACTAGGACAGTTTGTTTACTAAAAGATTTCTAAAAAAACAAATCACTGACGGATGGAATTACTGAAAACTAAAGTAGAAATAAGCCAATTCACACCGGGCAAAAATGACTCAAGAGGTATTCCAAATGAAATTCACAATCTGCAAATTAGTTGGCAGTTTGCATTGTACACAGTTCGAGGGGGAGAATTTCCACCATCACAGTCAATCAGTGGTAAACCGTTTTCTGAAAAAATATGCTTTCTTCTTGATAACCATCTACGGTGCCAAGCAGATCACATATTGTGATCCTGATAGCTTTGGTTTCCAAAGGAAACTGTGATGAAAAATCAACCCCTCAAACTATCTACGTTACAAGTTGCCATTATTATTGTATTATTATTCCTTTGGGTTCCGAGTGGAACATAAGGCTTCAACAACATATATCCACTTCGCTCTACTTTCTGCTGTTCTCTTCAGTTAGGTCTGCGACTGACCATAATCTCTCATTTATTGCTCACACGATCTTCTCCAAGTCACTCCCGCACTGATGACTCACTCGTCGCTTCCCATTGGGATTCCACTCAAGTGATGGTCTGGCGCGCAGTGTCACCCGATGACCTTCTAAACGTATGTTCTATCCATCTCCATTTTCTTCCGCATATTTGCAGAACGATAGGTTCTTGGTTGGTTTGTTCATCGCCAAAGTTTCTTGTTGCTAATGCTTTCTGACCAGCTGGCCATTTGATTTTCACTATGGAGCCAGCGAAGGGAGTCATGGGTAAAAGTCTGCCGCTAGCTGTTTGAAATACTTTTCGTAACAGGCCAAGTTTATGATCAGTATATAAGAACTGACTGGCTTCATATTTTTGTTGAAAATCTGAATCTTATTCTTTATACCACGGAGTGCAGAAGATTTCCAGTCTGGTTTCGATTTGATGAAACTGTATCTTCCCCTTCCGATTCTGGCTGGTTGGTTCTGACATCTTCATTTGTTCTTCTGTTTGTGGTTGAAACCATGACCACTAGATTAGTGAAGAAAGTAACCTCTGTCAAATTTCTTCTGTTGACGGTGATTGGTGCTGGTTGTTGTTTTTGCTCTTGGTGGTAGTTGGTTACCTTCATCGCCTCCAGCTTCTCAATGTCCAACTGTCTTCGCTACTTCTTCATCTAGTTTCGTGGCTTTTGACTGCATATTTTCAAATTTATGTCATATTAGACATAAATCGTCCACGAAATCCAGATCTCATAGAGTCTTCTTATCGGTCTAGCGTACTCCTGTCTCCTTGCTCCCCATAGTCCGACGTGTACCCACAGTTAAGAATATCATCAGTGATAATAAGCAGCATTGTCTTACTCCTGTATCCATTCCAAAGTCTTCGCTGAGTTACTCGTTGTGAATCCCCTAACACACACCATTGTAATATAACTGTTGAATATTGCTGATAAAGATTTGCACCCGGTACTCCATAGCGCTGAAATATTTTTCTAATTACTTCACAGTCAACGCTGTCGAAGGCCTTCTCGAAATCGATGAAGTTAAGGTAGAGGTTTGACTGTCATTCTATGCTTTCTCCGCCGACAATGCGTAGAGCTACAATTCGATCATCACATGATTTGCCTTTCTTGAATCCATCTTGTTCCGGTTGGCAGAGTTCTGCATCAAGTGCATCTTTTATTCTCTCCAGGATGACGTAACTTTGTGTTTTACTTGGAATGGACAACATTAGCGTCATTTCAGGCCAGCTCTTGCACGGGCATAAGTCGCCTCTTTTTCGTAGCTTAACAAGGTAACCAGCTTTTCTTCCAATCGCTAGGGACCTTTCCTTCCTTCTGAACCTTTTAGAATAAGAGCATGACGAAAACTGCCTCAGTCTCTTTATCCGTTTTCCGTGCTTCGGGTTGGGAAAATTCCATCTAGCCTTGCTGCCTTCCTGACTACGCTTCGGTAGCTTGATCACATTCAATACTTCTTCTTTCGTTGGAGGATTGGCATCTACTGGAAGTTCTGTGCGTGCTGTTGGCGGTGGTGTAGTTCTGTGCGAGTTGCAGGTGATGGTCGATTCAAAAGTCTTTTAAAGTGACCGTCCCATTGTTTGATTTGTTTCTCCTCCTTGGTGATCAGGTTAGCTTGAGTATCGTTTATTGGTTTCATCATCTGGATTGATCTCTTCCCGGATAGAGACTTGGTTATCTGATATAGTGTCCCAGTGTCTCTTTTACCTACAGCCTGTTCTGCTTCATTTGAAGGCCAGTGTGCCGAAGGATTGTCGTTTGTCTTTTCTAGCACTCTTCTTCACTTCTTTATTCATTGCAGTGTACATTGAACACAGGTTCTCCTTCTGTTGTCCATCTTTGCAGTGTATCATCTTCTCTTTTACCACCCTCTTCTCCTCCCTTCTATCAACTTCCAGATATGCGTTGAGAGCCATGCCTTTTCTTGTCTTTTCTACCTCCCTAAAACCGTTGTATACGTTTCCAATCAATACCTACAAAACTGCAACACACCGAAAACTATTACAAACTGCTAATTAACTTGGAAGTTGTGAATTTCATTTATGATATAACCAGTTCACCCAATCGGCTAGCCAGATATCAGGTGGTCTGAGCATATTCGGCTGAGTTAAGACAAATAGGGTACAGCACTGATGAACTGGGTACCAAACGAGCTAAATGACGTTTCAGTGTTTAAGTCACCTCCATTTGGTTAGCAAACAAGTTTGATATGAGTGGCACACAACTACTCACCTCAATCGATCAGTAAGATTTTCCAAATATCCCATGATTATTACTAGATAAAAATGAATTAGAACCCTGAAACAACTACAACTTTAAGGCGTGGAGTTACTCTGAAAAATGACACTGAGCAAAAAGCTTTCTTCTAAATATAATCTCGCTGGAGTGACGTAATTTCATGAGAGAACGCACACTGAACAAATGCTAACTGAAAAAATGTGGGTTTGAATTCCTGAGGTATCTCCACCTCTCCTCCTCAATCTTCAGATACGCTAAAGTAAATTAAGAATTTTCTTGAGGTCTAATTCAACCAATTTACATTACTGAAGAACTAAGTCAATTGAAACTGTCCTATTTTAAACTTTCAGTCAATACTTGGAAAGCAGAAGAGGTTATTTATTGTGATTATCACGTTATCAAGTTATGTCATAAATATTTCGATAAAATGGCAAATTTTACCTACTGTGTTTTTGTAAAATAACAGCTTTACCATAATGTTTAAACAGCACACTATGTATAGTCATATCAATTGCCATTAACTGAATTTTAACTAGTATATCTAACCATTTGTTAGTGCCAGTAAATGTTAATGGAAAGCTCAGATATAAATTATCTAGGTAGTGGCATGGTAGCAAACATAACTTAAGAATTTTCAAGTATTGGTTTTGTAGGGATTTTGTTTGATTAGTTGGGGAATTTGATCATGAGATGACATCAGTTAGAGAACCACTGGAGAACCTGGGGGTACTGAACAGCCATTTTTTCCTAGTTTGGGACTCTTCATGGGTACAGGTGGTTGCACACTGATGAAGGGTCCCAAACTAGGACGTAACAGTTGTCCAGTACTTCCACTCTTTCCAATGGTTCTTTAACTAACATCAGCTCACGATGAAATCCTCCAACCAAAAAACTAAAAATAACTTTAGGAATTGTTTAACGAGTGACGGAGACCTCAGATTTGTAAATCATTAACTTTTGTTGTCTTGAAAAAAGCTCATGTCTCCAAGAAATACTATACGCGGTATTAAAATCACTTTCTTTATCATTTCAGTGTTGAATGCTCGGAAGACACCCAAAAGATCTTGATATTAGTCTCAAAAAAAATATGATACTTCTGAAGCTCATCAGCATGCCACTGAAAGCTTTACTTCTGAGACTTCGGAGTCAATCAATACTTTTATCAGCAGGCTTCACATTAGTTATAAATTTAGACCAGTCACAAAATAGACTACTTACTATATTTTCGTATTTTCCATTATTTTAGAAATGCGAATCCATGATAATTAATCGTCATATCAGTTTGAAAGCAGAAGAGAAAGATGTAAGTTTTTTTTAAATACTAATACAGATATAGAACTTTGAGCTCCAATGCTTATTATTACTTACACCTATTTATCAGTAGTTTGTCCAAAGTGTAGGATTTCTAAAGCAATATACAGAGATACAAAACCTATTAGCTAAAAAAGCTTATGTCTAAGAGATGCCAACTGAAATGTTTTGTTTACAACTTCCCGTTGATTGGTCATACTGAACCAAGAGATCCAGAAAGCACGTTCTGTCCTATCTGGAAGTCACCCGTTTGGCATACATCTATCCCCAGCAAGGGATAATCCCCCCCCTGAGACTTAAACCCAGCTTAAAAGGATGTGCTTTTGCGTTCGAGTTTCATTGGGGACACAATCATTCACTCAGGGATGAAATTAAATCTCTGGTGGACATCCAGAAGGAAAAGTGTGCCATGAATTCCCCTGCCAGTAACCATCAAATGAAGTCAATTATTTCCTTACATCTTTTTATCGATGTAGAACTCCAGGAACCAGTGGGTTATGAAGTAATTTCAGAACATTATGAGTGTATATTGTTCCATTCTTATGATAGATCATTTCATAAGTGATGTCACAGGAGGCTTCAAATCATCTAAGAGTTCAATAGAAATACCGAGATCAATTAGAAAACGTCGCATGAGTTTCGTTGGAAATAATGTCATCAATTATTATTATTATTGTATCCTTTAGTTCCTAGAGGAACATAGGGCTTCAGCTGCGCGCCTCCACTGCCTTCTGTTTTCTGCCAACTTTCTCACCCCGCTCCAAGTCCGCCCACACGCTTTCATCTCCTCTTCGCATGACCTCCTCCAAGTCACCCTCACAGTGACGACCAACTCTCCGCCTCCCTTTCGGCCTCGTTCCACTCGAACAATGGCTTCTCTAGTGATGTCACTTGATGCTTTCCTCAGAGTATGGCCAATCCATCTCCACTTATTCTTGCCTATTTGTTTCACAATCGGTTCCTGCTGTGTTGGTTCGCTCATTGCCAGAGATCCCTGTTGCTGATCTTTTCTGGACGACCATCTGATCTTGAGTAGTATTGAGCGAATACAGCTGTTAATGAAGGTGTGTAGTTTGTTTGAGATGCTCCTTCTGACGCGCTGGCCAAGTCTCTGATCCGTATAGAAGCACTGACTGACTTCACATTGGAGTTGAAAATCCGGATCTTATTTTTGATGCTTGTGTGAAATGCCACCGACCAGTCTGCAATCAGAGTGTCTGATACAGTCCTACAGGAGGTCAATCGCAAACCCAAATAGCTCAATAGTAACGCCTCTGACTGCAGCACTGGGTGACGCGAGTTCGAATCTTAGAAGGGACATGAGTTCCTTCTAGGATGCAGATACACCTTGCTGACGAGTGCCAACTTGCACGTAACCTGGGTCCACGGCTTCCTTAAGATTACCTCCAACCATTTAATATCAACATTTGAAGATTGTTTAACACAGGCATTAATAAATGTTTATGTGTAAAAAATGTCCACCCTTAAAGAATAGAGTTTCACAATGCGAATAGTCTGTTATATCTTACATTTATCAAAGCAGTGTTACTTACTGCTTGATGTTTAAAGGGCTGATTATTATTCGGAACTACAATAGTGATTCATTTTCTACATACATATATATATATATACATGTCTACTTGTTTTGTTTTAATTATAGTATGAAACAGAACAAAAACGCTTCTTACAAAAAGAAAAAGAGGTAAGTTTTAATTACTGAAAGCATTTACTGTCATTATATAATTGAACTAATTCGGAATGAAAAAAACCAAATAAGTTCTTGTGTTTGTGAGACTTTTATGACCGAAAGATTCTATCACTAAATAGTATCATCTGTAAGGCAACTGAAAACTGAGAAGTACTAGGCGGAACTCTAATATTAGTTTAACACTTCCCAGTGGTACACACACCAATGACTTGGCGAAGAACTAGAGCAGAAACATCAGGTTTATCTGTGGCCACGTTCTCCTGTGATAACTTATATTCTCCAAATCAGTAACTCAGTTGCCCAAGATGTTATTTATCAAGGTGGCAAACAGTGATGAATTAGGTTTCATTAACTTTGCCTTCCTTTCCTGGTTAAAAATGATAGAAATTCACTTTCATGACCATTCATCTTAAATGTCATCTTCATCATTCTTTATATTCCCAGAGCTCACTTCCTTTATGACCTTCGTTTTTCACTTTATAACTTTGTTTAGTACATTAGATATTTGATAAATTTAACGCTGAAGATGATGTCTAGTAAGTTAAAGGAAGCTTTGAAATTAAATCATCCAGATGACACGAAAACACTACCAAATACCTCCGCTTAAGCTATAAATCGTCTTCATCACTTCAAATATAGAAAAATACCTAGTTAACAGCAACAACCAAAATTCTTTGGATGATTTCAACATGAGCTGACATCATTTACAGAACCATTAGAAAACGTGGGAGTATTAGATAGCTGTTTCGTTCCAGTTTTGAACTCTTTAGCAGTACACACCGGCCGCCAAGGTTCGAACCCAAGACCTTCTGGTTACGAGGCGAGCTCATAGACCATTAAGCCACCGTGACCCGATCCAATGTCAACAACACGTAGAAAACCTCAAGAAATTTTCCAGTGTTGGATTTTTGGGTAACTGACACAAATTAGGATTCCCGAACCTCAGATTCCAAACAGGTAGTTGAATGGAAAATTGCTCGTCTAATAGCCTAAAGAAACCCTTAATTTGATGCATACTAAAAAATAGTCCCAAACAGCGATGATATAGGTACCTTCCTTTAGATTATAATGATCATAGTGATAAAAATAATGATAATTGTGTCTTTATATACAATATAATTATGGAGGTGCTAGTGACACGTTACTTAATAGGCTGCCAGAGGTTCCGGGATGAAGTCTACATTTATTTTCGTCTTTAGTCTATGTATATTGATGTTAAACGTACATTATTAGGTAAAGAGAGAAAATCAATCGGTTTTGTCTTGAAACCTTACCTAATGAGATGTCTAGAACACGTGCTACGCGTGCCAAGCTACCGCCTTCCTCGTCAAGTAGTGTTAGCTGACATAAGATTATGCCGGAAAAAACTTACGGGGTGGTTAAACTAAGAGATATGATTGATTGATGAAGTCCCTTACTAGTGGTTTGAACTTCATGTGGGGTTGTAAACTGCGTGGCTGGAGTCCTTGGAAGTCTTTGGACCAATGACTTGAGGCTGTTCGTGATATGGCTTAGAAGTGTTACCTACAGTGCAGATGAATTCACTCTCTTTGAATTCCTAGATCCATGAGATTTTCACTCAACACCAAGTACCCATCCTCTCTCCTGTATCTTTTTTCTGTTTATTATAGTGATCACTATCAAATGTTATGATCACAGTTCCCCCTCCTCCTTAACATGCTTAATTAACTGTCTTTTATTACCCGCCACTTTATAACATAATTTTTTTTAGATAATTTGAAACCGGGTAAAAATGAAAGTCTTATCTATTCCATCGTTGTTTACATTGTTTTAATCTGTTATGTTCATTTAAATTTGTGCGCAAATCATGGCTTTCAATGTTCAATAATCACAAGAAATAATTTAAGACGTCTCCTCCTCCCCCTGCTCTTCCTCGACATTATATCATGACTTCAAAATATTTTAAAAATGCAATGCAAATAAATAAGCACTAAAGATAGAAATTTACAAGTGCAAAATCTTTTCATGTAAACCGTTGAAATTTGATTGCCATTTTTCAAAATATTTTTAAGTAATACTTTTATTTACTATTTTGCATACTCTTACGTAAATATGTTACTGTTTTGCTGATATATATTCAAGAAGACAAGCACGGTACCCATCTTTTTTTATTGCAGTGACAAAAAAATATCTATTTCTTGACATTAAAGTAGTTTAACATGTTTATGCTAAAATATGTGCGTATTCATGTGTATGTGTATATACATACATGAATTCTTTAAAATTCATTCCACAACTGACTATCATTGTCATCCTAGGGCTGGAATTATCACGCATATAGTAAATGACAACAAATTTATTTACCATAGGAACTTAGTACTTGGAACATATTTCTTTTTTCCCGAAAAGTTCGTTTGTGTCTCTTGTTTTCTTCATTTCCTGTTGATTGGATGACTTTTATCAGTAGGTTAAAGATTATTAATGATAAGGAAATAATTTGTAGCCATTGTACTACTTACTACCGAGATAAGTAGCAATTATTTTTATCAATGAAATTTTACCACATATTTCTATTACCGGTCGGGAATGAGGAAAAATACTCCCTAAAGATATTGGCTAGTGGTCATGCTAAGATGAAAGATTTACAGGAGTTAGAATTTATGGACAACTAAGTTGGTTCCTAGTGAATGGATAGTCTATGAGCTCGAGCCCTAGTGGATGAATACTGCCGACGAATCCCGAACTCGGATGAAACAGCTGCCCAGTACCCCCTGCTGGCTTTCCAGTGGTTCTCTCACTATTATCAAACGGTGACCAGACTTGGAAAAAATCAAAACTCTTGGAAAATGATAATAATAAAACAATAAAAATTCCATTATGGATAAAATGTAATTCTGATAAAATCACATAGTGTTTCTTACACAGTAATATTTACTGAGGACCACGTTTCGAACACAAATTATTGCTTATAATCATGTCAAGGTACTCACTCAACTTTCTTGCTTCATTTATATACATGAGTAAAAACTGATAAGAAATTTGAATAAAATCAATATGAGATGAAGTAGCCTGTTAGAGTGTTATAATGTGAATTGAATATATTTTAACATTATTTGTTATCCTCTGATGTGATTGGTGGTAATAATATCTTCCATATCTGAGGTATTTGCGTTCAGTCACTTGTATTGCATATGTTGGGTGTAGACTCGACGAACCAGGCAGGATTCAGTAATCAACCTCTCTCTCCACCAAATACCTATGTTACTTTTTAGAATTTCACCTCTGTCTTACTCTACTGTGTGGTTGTCTGCTATTGCATGCAGTGCGATTGCTGAACTTTTTTCTGAATTACTTATCTTTGTGGGATCAATCATTCTAACCTTAGCTAAAGTCTTATGTTCTGATAATCTCACTACTCCCGATCTACTAGTTGATTTAACTCATATTCATTGCAAGGTATTTTGTAAAATGGCATTATTTTGTTTAATCGAGTCCACCGAGTCTTTTAGCCTACAGAACTTGTCCCTCAGTGAGTTTGAAGGTTTGCCTTATTGAGAATCCTACGTAAGGGTCTCAGATGTTCCCTACTTATACGGCAAAAATGAAGATACCTCATATTCTTTCTCATTTTTGTTGTCAGTATTAGTCTCGTCATTATTTTCATTTTCCTTTGAACCTTTTTGATCTTTCTAATGAATTTTATAGGATAGTTACTTAACACCTACGCTTCTTCTAAATGTTTCATTTCATATATATCTTATATTGACTTTATTCAAATGTCTAATCACCAATTTTTGTTCATGTATAAAAATGAAGCAAGAAAGTTGTGTGAGTAACTTGATATGATTATTAGCTATAAATTGTGCTCGAAAGGTGGCCCTTAGTAAATATTACTGTATAACTGTGTGTGATTTTATCAGAATAAAATTTAATCCATAATGGAGTTGTATTCCACCACACTGCCGAAGTTTTATTCTAATATCAACAATACAGAATTCCCAGTATAATTTCTCACCAAATATTTACTCCCTCCCTCCCCCCCCCAAGAAAGAATCTCCAAGATAATATTTATGCACAGCCTGTCGTGTGACATAACACCATTGTATCTGAAATGAGACTCACTTTCTACATGATATTTTCCCTTCAATATTCATTTTAAAATGCACAGAAGTAGGTCCGACGCAAATTAAAAACTAGCATGATTCCATGTCGCCATCTAAGAACACAATCGCAAGATTAGATAAGTAAAAGATGGAGAAAAGTAGATGAATTATGCTAGACAAAAGCTAAAATGTTTAAGTAGTACGCCAAAAAACTAAAGATGCAAATTAAATTAGCATTATTATCATTCCCTGAGGTTCCAAGTAGAACATAGGGCTTCAGCAACATATCTCCATTTCGTCTTCTTCTCTGCAACACTCTTCATCTTGTCCCACAATTTCCTTTAAGCTAGCATCTCCTCTTCATATTATCTCCCCATGTCATCCCTGAACAAACACTGAACACGTCATCTCCCATTCAACAGCCTGCCTGATGAGCAATGTCATCCGATGGTTTTTTCAACGTGTATCTTATCTATCTCCGTTTCATTTCCATGCATTTTTGAGCAATAGGTCCTTGATTGGTTCGTTCCCAGAGTTTCTTGTCGGCGGTTCATACTGGCCTGTCATCTAATCCTCAGCATTGAGTTGTTATGTACTGGTCGAGAATTTAATAGTCCTGACGCAAGAAGACGGAAATCAGAAGACCACTAGGTTTGCGACGATACTTCTATTTTCCAAACACAAGGGGAATCAAAGTGTCACACAAGAGTGTGAGAGCAAAAATATATGAATGTCCGAACAAGTGTGTGAACACAAGTGTGTGAGCGAATATTCAAAATGAACAAATCAATAGATAGTCTTAACATGATTGACTAATTATAATGGAATATCGATCCATATATACATAGCAAATATACAGACTGTCAAACAAACACACATATTATATGGATATATATCACCAAGGACAGACTGTCAAACAAAACACACGTATTATATGGATATATATGTCAGGAGTCATAGAAGACAGCTGTTGATAAATGTTTACAGTAGCCTGTTGAATATGATTTTCGTGGTGCGCCAAGTTTCTGATGAATAATAGAATAATACAGTTGTCAAGGAACTGAACCCTAAGTTCCTATGATTTGAGAAGACGCTCAGAATCGACGGCTACTAAGTATGATTATCGACTTGAACTCCAAAACACAAGGACTTGTAAAAAGACATTATATTCTTCAGCAGTTAAATTCCATCTATCATACAGAGTCTATAAAGAAATGTTCTACATATAATGTATTGTACTTTTATTTGTATTCTTTCGTCTTCTTCCAACCTGTACACGACTGAACCATTCGCTCCTTTGAGTTGCCCACCAATGACGACCAAGGCAAATGAACCAACGTTCAATGTTCAAGTTCATTTACAACAGGCGTTTTTGTTTAACTTTTGTAAAATATATCTTACTGATCAATCCACAAATACTATTCACTTCTAGACTTTTGTTTCTGCCAGTTTAAATTTGTTCTTCTTGCGATTGCTCATTAAAACAAAGGTGGGCTTTATGTTTAATCACAGTAATTTCCAACCCTCACTAATTTAGTGAATAGATACATATCTCATCAGTAGGGCAGCACTTGGTTTCCTTTAAATGAAAGTTTATTGAGCGGTTACAGTAAAATGATGCACTAGGAACGTAGTTGAAATTCACCCTGAAATATGCAGGAACTCTCTCTGTCTGACCAATCAAAGTTTCAATGTTACTCACGATTTTTCAGATCAGTAAATAGAAAAATCAGTAGATCGTTGTTAAACAAGTAAAATCACTGAATGAGTGCTTAAACGTGCTTTTTAGTGTAGAATGCTAAAGTGAATCATTTTGAACTTTTCCACTCAGGTTCTGGACTGAATTATACGGGGATCAAGCATATTTGTAACTGTAGAAGAAGAAAGACTTGGTATCTCTATATAGGCAAATTATGTACATCTTATGATAAACACAAAATTTGCACAGATCTTCCGTGTTGGCTAAGATTATTATTATATCCTTTAATTCTTAGAGGATCATAGAGCTTCAGCTGTGCGTCTCCATTGCCTTCAGTCCTCTGCCAACTTTTTCACCCCGCTCCAAGTTTGCCCACATGCTTTCATCTCCTCTTCACATGACCTCCTCCAAGTCACCCTTGCACTGACGACCAACTCTCCGCCTCCATTTCGACCTCGTTCCACTCAAGCAATGGCTTCTCTAGGGATGTCACCTGATGTTTTACTCAGAGTATGGCCAATCTATCTCCAATTCTTCCTGCCTATTTGTTTCACAATCGGTTCCTGCTGTGTTGGTTCGCTCATTGCCAGAGATCCCTGTTGCTGATCTTTTCTGGACGACCATCTGATCTTGAGTAGTATTGAGCGAATACAGCTGTTAATGAAGGTGTGTAGTTTGTTTGAGATGCTCTTTCTGACGCGCTGGCCAAGTCTCTGATCCGTATAGAAGCACTGACTGACTTCACATTGGAGTTGAAAATCCGGATCTTATTTTTGATGTTGAGTGCTGTTGACTTCCAAACAGTTTTAAGAGTAATGAAAGCTTGTCTTGCTCTCCCAATCCTTGCTTCTTTGGTATCCTCGTCAATTCCGTTCGCCTGTAGTTGAAACGATGCTTCCCAGGTGGGTAGGTAAAGGAGGTTGTTTCTTTCAGGTTCCTCCCATTTATGATGACTGTTATCTGTGCTTCTTCTGGTCTTCCTTAATAGTGTGTTTCTTTGTGTCCCTTTCACGTCTCTCATGTATCTCCGCAACGCTATATCATTTGCTTTCTCTGACATCAAATCTATCTCCAGCTTTTTAATATTTCTATGCATCTGAATGTCGCTTTATATGTATACTACTGATAAGTCTTATCAGTAGCACACGCCAAATATTGACATAATTACTTGACAATATTTGAATGTATTAAGGTAAACATAAATATATAACGTCATATGCTACTGATTGATTGATATTAGTAGTGGTTGAGTACCACTCGCATCATCGAGTAGTGCTTCCCAGCCGGATTGTGATAATCTAAACGCTGAACAGCTGTTTTACTAGTTTGCACCCGAGTTCACTAGCGGTGTGCCCAGTTTCCCTCTACTTGTAATAAATATGTTGAAAATGCTATTCACTAGTCCCTAAGGTTCGTCTTTAAAAGTCCCAACTTAATGCTCAACATAAAGGTGAAATGCGTATGCGTGCATTGCTCGCCTCTTTGAAACTCGTTGACTGATGTTCATTGTCTTATGGTTCTGATGAGATAATAAATTCCTTCATACAGACGGAATACCCGAAGAAGTGAAAATTCGAATCACATCGAAAATTTACTAATTTTTTTTAAATTAATCACTGCATCATACTTATATGATGGATTAGTGATGAAGGTTTTGTTGTATCTGTGAAATCTGCAACGATGAATTACAAGTGGAAACATGTGTACTCTTACGATGAAATAAATAACATTAGGAGATTACGGGCGTTTTATAAGTTGCTTTTCGTCAAGATATTGACCGCAACTGTATTAACAAATCTCTTATGTATTACTTTATTTTATTCTAGGAAATGGAGAAACATCAAGAACAATTACGAAAAGAACGTGAAGAGGTATGAGCACTGGATCTTTTCTTAGTTTTTGTACGAACACTAATTGATAGTTCACTTTTATTTCTTGTAAATGTTTCAATTATCCCTAAATTACAGTCTCTGTTTGCTTTGTTGACAGATTTTAAGGACACAAAAAAAACACATGGCTCAGGGATAAAAGCTCTTTTTTGCAAAATAATTTTCCACTTTAGCTTTACCATCGTATTTATAGGCAACTTTCTTTTCTATGGAAGAGGGTAATAGCAAAAGTGATGAGTGGTCATCATCAATCCAAGTTAGTAGAAATCAATAAGGTTGTTACCATGTTAATAGAAGTGTTTAATTATTCTCTTTTATATGAATACCTCAAGCTTCTCTGCCTAAATGACTAGATCTTCAGCAATGCAAGGTAGACAAGAGCATCGTGACTTCTGTAGGTTTCCCTACATTTCGCAGATTACTCTGAAGAAGGCGTTTGTTGAGACGGAATGACCTGTGCTGACAAAATGTTCGATTATCATACTCCTTATACAGCCACTACTGCCTTTCTGCAACAATACGTGATAGTGTTCTTGAACCCTTTTAGACAATACACTTATAGAACAGTCAATATACCCGGCTACAAAAGGACAAACGTACTGATATATGCACATAGAAGTGGTCAGAGGCTACCTTCTGAATACTACACTATTTCATGAAACAAACTGTGCAAAAATGTGTCTGTACACCTAAGGAAAGTGAATTCCTTGAAAAGAGCGTATATTGTTGAAATAGGGTGTTGTGTTTTCGCTGATATGTGGATTGGGATTATTGAGAGATGGTGATGTAGCTCACGAGCTTAAGTACTCGACTCCTAGTCAGTCACTCCCTCCTAGGTCCGAATCCAGTTGGGCCTATTTTATCAATATGTGTTGATTATATCCTGTTATACGATCTGTCATTTGAAGGTAATGGAATTATTGATATATGAATGGCTAAGTAAAACTTTTACGGCCTGAGAAATATCCAGAAGAAAAACAACAAAAATGAACTGATACAAAAATGGCAAATTTTCACTAAGATTAAATTAGTTTGACCATGGATTAATGTCATTTAGAAAACTTCTGAAAACCAGAGAGTCCTGTACATCTTTTTCGCCCTGACCTAAGACTCTTCATCGGCATGCAAACAAATGAGATCCCTACTAGTAAACTCTTGAAAATCGAACTGATGCTCACTAGTGACTGACTACAGAAAGAAGTCACCTGAAGTTTTCTTGAGGAGTCATAATCAATAAGGTCTATCCTGTTTTGATTGAGCACACGTACTTCCTGATGACATTGGCTGGTTATCACGCTATAATTCACCAATCAGTAGGAGTTCGAATTAGTGAACTGCTGAGTCGGATCCCAGTAGCTGAATGGTCTACGAGCAATCATTGTAACCAGAATGGCTAGGGTTTGGCTCCTGGTGGCTGTGTACCGCTGAGGAGTCCTGAACAACTCTCCAGTACTCCCTGGCTTTCAGTGGTCCTCTAAATTATATCAACCTGTGGTCACACCACAAGTTACTACAAAATAAGTACCGGCATGAAATGAGTAGTGCAAACTAAACACAAGCTGTCTACAAATAAATGTGAACAATTTCCTGAATATAGAGTGGTAAGGTTTCTCGATTTGATGCATCATGGATGCCATTAACCGTACAGAACAAACTCATTGCAACAGAGATTATTTCCCTCCGCCACTAAGGACACATTTGAAGGTGTTAGCAATTAGCTCTAGTGATTTCACTTGCGTTTAATTTTCAGCATTAAGGGCATTTTCAGAATGATCTCATTGGGAGGCGTTACAAACTTTTTGATTAAGTTTTATGCAACGCTTTTCTTCACATTTTGCGTTCATCTTTCTATATGTCCTCTGAGTGCATTATCTCAAGGTCATGTGACACAACTTTTGGCTGTACTAGACCCCGTCCAATAATCAAATTCACAATTTTCAAGTTAATTCTCAGCTCACAATTTATACAGTTCGAGAAGTTAAAATGTCTCCACAATTTCCCTAATTAACCAGTTTATTCACATTAAAATTTGTTATCTGTTTGATATCGTAGATGGCAATCGAGAAGGCATGAAAATTTATACTACTGATTTATTGAAATGAGTAGTTGTATATCGCCACACATACCCACCAGTAGTTCCTGCTAGCCGGATCGAGGTGATTTGAACACTAGATGGTCGTTTCGCTTGTTTCGGGGGCCGAGCTCATCAGAAGTGTGCCCAGCTTGAATGAGTCAGAGAGCCGAATCGTTGTGAACTGTGGTGAGATTTCACCTTTCACACCATTACATTGAAAATCGCCAACTGGATGAAAACATTCAGTTACTGGGGCAAGCAAAGACTGATAATCGCTTCTTTCTGAACACATAAATCGGGTTTCATGTGCTTGATGGAAATTGCTCCTGCAAGCCTAAGGAGAATTCAACTTTTTGCTTATTGATAATTCTGAACGATTTTGAGACGTCCACCTCATGACCCATGTCAAAGAGATACTTGGCAATGGCAATGTTCAAAGCATTTGTCCCTTTTAGACAGATTTTTTCTAACATGCAAAAAATCAGAGCCATGCCCTTCTTTCTGCTCTCCCAAGGTAACTGCTTCCGCATGTACATGTTAATTTGCCTATAAAGTTTGATTTAACATGAGAAGGCTATAGACAGCTAATAAGAAGTCAACGAATTAAATAGTATTCATATTCATAAACGGGAATAAATGTATGAAGAATGCTTTTCACTTAATGAAACTGCTTAATTCTATTTTTCACTTTTATTTCTGTATTTTTTTCAGGTTAAAAAGGCCAGAGCATCAAAACGACATGTAAGTACTCTCCATTTTTTATTCTCCTACACTGGCATTTCTTTGTAACTGAAAGTCATCTTTAAACAGGATTCTCACACCTGAAAGTTGGACCCGACTAGACACTGTCTTATTTCAGAACTTCAGGAAATGCCTAACTTCAAATAAATACGATGAACAATGAAAGTGTTTTTCGTTCAGGTTTGTGGATCATGAGCAGTGATCACACTATCACGTTAGGAACCAAAACTGCATAAATTTAACAATTAAAAGAACACGTTTTTAACTAGGTAACTAGGCTACTGTTGACAATACTGACTGGATGTCATTTCTTCCATTAAATCATATTTAATAACATTTCGAGAGGTAGAAGTAAGTCCAAATCGAGATCACGTGGTCTGTCAAGTGTTTCGCATTATTTACTGAGTAAGTATGCCAACAGTAACTAAAATGGTTCTTGTAAGACTTGGTAGAAAAAAATGCCAATTTAAAGACATTCATCCTCTTTGAACGTATATCAATATTTCAATGCATGATTATTGAAAGGAATGATCATAAACATTATGTTGAACTGGTTGAACCACTAGCAAATCAAAGATTTTTAGAATATACTGACGTGTTGTGAACAGTTAAATATAGAAGTATGGGAACAAAGAAGCATTTTTTAACTTTTAATCCCCTAGATAATCAACCACTGAGAGGCGGCAAAAATACAGTGAATCAGTCAGTTATCGAATTAAAAGGGAAATTGTCAAGTTTTATATCTCAGATAACACCGCCATAATATTCCCTTAGAACGTGTGTGTACGATAAAAAATGTATGATCTTACAACCACTTGAGCCTTTTTCTACAGTATGAATAACAATTAAAACTATAGAATTATAAAAACTTCAAAAGACCGTGATTAGTGAACAAAGAATATTCTTTGTGATGAATTCATTATCAGGTTCCATATTTACATGATAGTTAAAATTATGAAATAGTCTTATTACCAATAGCTATGCTCTTCTAAATTACATCAAATCAATAATTATTATTATATCATTTAATTCTTAGAGGAACATAGAGCTTCAGCTGCGCGTCTCCATTGCCTCCGGTTCTCTGCCAACTTTTTCACCCCGCTCCAAGTCTGCCCACACGCTTTCATCTCCTCTTCACATGACCTCCTCCAAGTCACCCTCACAGTGACGACCAACTCTCCGCCTCCCTTTCAGCCTCGTTCCACTCGAGCAATGGCTTCTCTAGGGATGTCACTTGATGCTTTCCTCAGAGTATGGCCAATCCATCTCCACTTATTCTTGCCTATTTGTTTCACAATCGGTTCCTGCTGTGTTGGTTCGCTCATTGCCAGAGATCCCTGTTGCTGATCTACTCTGGCCGGCCATCTGATCTTGAGTAGTATTGGCGAATACAGCTGTTAATGAAGGTGTGTAGTTTGTTTGAGATGCTCTTTCTGACGCGCTGGCCAAGTCGCTGATCCGTATAGAAGCACTGACTGACTTCACATTGGAGTTGAAAATCCGGATCTTATTTTTGGTACTGAGTGCTGTTGACCTCCACACCGACTTGAAAGTAATGAAAGCTTGTCTTGCTTTTCCGATTCTGAATTCCGTATCGGTTCATTTCGTTTGCGATCTGGGCAGCTTTGCCAATCTCGTACATAGTGCGGACGTTCCATGTCCCCTTACAGACTTTTCTTTTGGCGCAAGGAAACTCATCGCGCCGAAGTTTCTGTAGCAACTTTGTTTACAGGGTGGGATTGCTAGCCACACGCATGAGAAAGGAATGGTTACATTAAAATAAAGTTTAGACAGAAGCGACCTTGTGGGTTACTCCCCTTAAAACCGGAAAACATGGGATAAAACAATCAGAACAACACCAGCAAAAGGAGAACAATTCACAGCAAAAGGGTAGCAGGCGACAACAACAATAAAAATGTACCAGTTAAGCACAGTTGACTAAAATGATAACCAAAATCATAGACTCACTGACTTGAGCCAACTTGAACATGTAAATCCAACAATTTATACAATTATAGATATGTGTTAGTGTTAAAAAGTCACAAAATGCCAAACAGTTAGTTATAGGTATTAGTAATCAGCAAGATTATATCCACAGGTTTAGTGTTCGAAAGTAAACGTGGTCAAAAACGCCAGAGAAATGAGAGTTTTATGTAACTAAGCAATTGTAGTGCACTAATCGAAAAGCGCGGTCAACTGTTTTTTTTCAATCAATAATAATATCTATATATTAAATTTTAAAGGCATCAGCATCAGAGTAAGTTACCTGGATCTCTAGTGGGAAGTCGTGACCAGTAGGGTGCAGGAGGTGGAGTGTGTGGACAAATTCTCGTCAAAGATATCGGCTAGTGGTTGTGCGATGTCGTGAATTGGCAGATAATATACACTATTATAACACTAAACTGAGTGAATCTCAGATAAATTAAGGGAGATGACACCGAATTTATAAATTCATAGGTTAAATAGCATGCCACCGTGGCCATAGTGGCTGGGTATATTTCTTTCGCACTCATAGTTCCTGTTGATTTAAAATAATTGCAAAGTTCTCTTTTTGGAGTGTTCTATATTTGGGGACCTTCAGCAGTTTACTCAGTATTGGATAGATGATAGAAAAAGATTCTTAAATACTAGCTTCATGAGGTGTTTTATTACTGCGATTACTCCCTCGGGTTCCGAGTGGAAAATAATGCTTTGACAACACATCTCCACTTTGTTCTACTTTCTGCGGTCCTCTTCAGCCGGGACCACGGTTGCCATAATCTCTCATCTCCTCCTCCAACTCACACGACCTCCTCCTTGTCATCCTCGCGCTGACAACTCACACGTCGTTTCCCATTCGGGTTCCACTGGAGCGATGGTCTGCTCGCGATGTTATTTGACGGCCTCCCCCAACGTATACCCAATCCATCTCCATTTTTCCCTTACATGTTTGTTGAGCAATAGGCTCTTGGTTGGTTTGTCACCAGCCAGGAGTATCTTCTTGCTAATTCTTTCTGGTAGGCCAATTATTTGATCTTCTTTATGGAGACAGCGAAGGCAGCTGTTGATAAAAGTCTGCCACTAGCTGCTGGGAATTCTTTTCGTGAAGCGTCAAATGGCCTGTTTAGACGAGGTGATCTGGTGCAGGTCTGTGGATGGTTTTGACAACATCCTTTTTCACCCATACTGGTGGATGTTCCAGAACAAACAAAATTAATTTCCTTAAGTAAGAGCCAATATAAATGGCTGCACAGAAGCAGCTAAATTATTACATATACTTAGAAGTGGTTAACTTAGGTATTTCATCTCTGTTTTGAAATCATAACCGGTTGAGTGGAAAATTAAAGCTGTTGGCTTCCCGCATTACTCCTCTTTTGAATCGGTTTTCCCTACATATTGGTTATTATTTCACTTGGTAAATTACCCTTAAATTGTAGCTTTGTGGCCTGTTTGCACAAGGCTCATTGATCAAACTTTTAAAATCATCTATCTAATAAGCATCTTTAATCAATTACAAAAACAGGTATCGTTTTTAGTGTCCCACCGTAAAAGGCTGAGAATTCTCTTTTTTCAATAAAGTGTTATATATCTGTTAAGATTATGATTACTGCTCATGATATTCTTTCCTTTCTATATATTTGTCTATCTCTTTATGAATAAAATAGTCGAAGGTGAATGCAGATCAAGAAGCCAATAAAAATAGTCAAACAAGAAGAATGACGTATAGAAAACAAGGTCTCGGTGGTATGAGTAAAGAACGCAGAAAAAAACTAAAGGTATTTTATGTTACCAAATAGATTGGTTCAAATATATATATATATATATATATATATATATAGAATATTTTCGCATTTATCTGAAGTAGTTATACGGGAAGGAGGACTGACAGCAGCGAAATGAATGATGACTCCGTGAAAAAGAAAAAAATTTCGTTTCTTCAGAATCTGAATCAGAGACCACTGGACTACCCCAACTGTGAACTCTATCTCAACTCACTTGTGAAGCACAAATACAAGAATAATGAGTTTTAAGTTTTCCCGTGGATTGATATCAGTTGGAGAAACAATGGAAGCCACCAAGGAGTACTAGACAGCTGTTTCATACTAATTCAGAACTCATTGGCAACGGAGTTTGAACCCAGGATTTTCTGATTACAAGGCGAACTCTCAGATCAGTCAGTCACTGGGATCCCCCTTTGTCGGATAACTGTTACTGTCTTGATTTTTCTGAAATTTAGCAACTATTAAAGTTGGATTTCAGTCAGTAGCTATCCCACAGCTATATTACATCGTCACTAGAAAAATCAATGACCAGCAATTGGCTATGTATTCTACTAATAGACGTTTTTAGTTTTATCGCTAAAATCTCATTTCAACATCGTTTCGTTAATCCCTGTATTTGTGGAACCTTTTTAGGCTCAAATTAATTCCAGTTAGAAAGATCAGAGGGATGATATGCAAATTCAAATACAATTTAAACCATTCGAGTTGGAGAAATCTCATTACACTTTCTTTTAGAAATTGAAATTATTCAGCCTACAATATGTGGTCTTCTCGATAGCATAAATAGTAATCAAGAAACCGATCATAAATGCATAGAACTATATACCACTGACTGATACAGACGAGTAGTTCCATGCCACTCAGATCAACCAGCAGGATTTGCATTCCAGATCAAAGTAACCTAAACACCGAATGGTCGTTCCACTCGTTTTGAGCCCAGCTCATCAATGGTGTGCATGGTTTGACTGAGCTCAGAGAACCGAATCAGTCCAAACTACCCGACTTCTGGCCAGCTGCTTCGGAGAAATGGTGGGACTATTAATCAAATTCCCAGTTAAAAAGAGACTGAAAGTAGATAACTTTGATCCCCACTGTTACCTATAACACCTTACGTCTTCTTATCACCATGAAAGTTCAATCGTTGTGACTTTTGTGACAGTTTATATCGGCTAGTTTTGTTTCATATATAAAGTCTAAAGGCAACACAATGTATTGGTAAAGAAACTTGAGCAAAAGTGGACTTTTTTAACTTGCCGAAACCACTTCAATAACAATATTATTATCATTAACCACTTGCGTTCAGAGTGGAAAACAAGGCTTCAGCAGAATATCTGCATCTCACGCTGTTCTCTGTCGTCCTTCTCATCTGGCCCCACGTTCCACACAACCGCATATATCCTCCCTAAACGATCTCCTCAATACCACTATCAGACACATGCCCAACTCGTGGTTATGCATCCAGGTTCCCCTCGAACAACAACCAGGTGAAAGGTGTTACCCAGCGGGCTCATCAATGTGTGCCCGATCTACCTCTATTTTCTTCTACACATCTGTTAGGTAAAAGGCTGTCGGTTGATTAGTTCCTAGAGTTTATTGTTCCTAATTCTTTGGGGCCTTCCATCCGATCATCAGTATGGAGCCGGTGAAGGCAGTTGTTGATAAAACTCTGTAGTAGTCTGACACAAACGCTTTTCGTGAAGTGCACACCAAGTTTCTGGCCCATATGGAAGAATTGACTTCACACTAGTATTGAAAATTCGAATTTTATTCCTCATGCTGACCGAGTGCACCAAATTTTCAGATTGATTTCAGAGTGATGAAGGTCTGACTTGACTTTCTGATCTTCACTGGTTTTCACATCCTGATCGATGTTGTCGCCTGTACTTGAAACAGTGCAAACTAGGTCAGATAAGCGAAGGAAGTGACCTCTTTCCAATTCATTTCGTTGATAGTGATTGGTGTCTGTAGATGTTGATTGATTATCTTCATCACATTCAACCTCTCTACTCTCAGCTGAAGTCCTCTCTTTGAGTTTACTAGTTCACTAGTTCGTGAGTCTATCTTAGACCCAGATATAAAGGGAAATTTGGGCGTCCAGTTGGTGGACCTATACCAGAAGTTCAGTTCAGTTGCCACAGAAACTTTAAAGCACAACAGGAATATAAAAAACCAAACCTATTCCTCTCTGGAATCAGATCGATAAAATGATGCCGAGCGGTGGTGAAAGCCGTTTAGAAGCTAGTCGACCGATGAATCTTCTTTTGATGAAAGTAAAAAGTAAGCATTGATACGTAAAATATTTGTACAATATACAAAGCTGAGAAGGATGCTCAGGTCACTGAAGAAATGAGGAGATAGAGCATAGAAAAGCTAGGAATCTGTGATAAAAGGTGGAACAGATGTGGACTCTTCAAATTGTTAACTGAAGAGTCAATAATCTACTCTTGTCATTCAGAATCACTATACTCAGCTGGATTTCTAGACATTTGAGTAACTTTGACTCCTGATGCTAAACTTTGGAAATATTTACTACAAAGGGATGAAGATAAGGCGTAAGCTATTTTCAATTTCCCTACAACTTGAGAGGTATTCAAATTATTGAAAAATTGAATGTCCTTCAGTTTACCTGTTCAAATTTTTGTGGCTTATTGCAATATTTTTTTGTCAAATTACAGTGAAAAATATCACCAAAACACCATACACACAAAAAAATTAGAAATCTACATGAATTACTCAATTTTTCAATCGAGCCCGAATGGCTCAATTATAACGTCTCTGACTTCAGCACTGGGTGACGCGGGTTCGAATCTTAGAAGGGACATGAATTCCTTCAAGGTTGCAGATACGCCTTGCTGATGAGTGCCAACTAGCACGAAACCCAGGTCCAAGGCTTCCTGTGGCCGATTGCCTCCAACTATCTAATATCATCGAAAATTAAAACCGTTTTAATAGTTACCCTAATTTCATTTCCCCTTCTCTAACTGCTTGACTCCTTTTTCACTTGTTAATTGAAATAACAAGACTTTAATTAACTGATGTATAGAACATACTATGATAGTGTTCATCAATCATAGTGTAAACTGTGTTTGTTATAGTAACGATAGCAATAGTAATTATGATAGTAATGATAGTCATCCCCACAGTACAGCACAGAAATAACCCTGTCTATAGGAAAGAAAGATGACGAAATCATTTACTATCTGTTAGGTAACTTTGTCTAATGAATTCATATTCAGCATATCTAATCTGCATAAATGATCAGTTGATGAGTTGATTTCTTTGCCAGATATTGTTACTTGGTATATTGCAAATAGGTAAAAAATGGAAGAATAAGATTGTTGATAGCATTAATGAAAAAATGTAAAAATTATGAGGGGGAGAAGGTAAAAGAACATCAAATTAGTTGGAGAGGAAATTAACTGACGTAAGCCAGTAAAGAGAGTTCCATTTATTATTATTATTGCTCCCTTGGGTTCCTAGTGGAACATAGGCTTCAACTGCACGTCTCCACTTGCTTCTGTCTTCTGCTGTACTTTTCATCTGCATCCATGTTAGTCCATTTTTTTCAACTCCTCTTCACACGATCTCCTCCATGTCACCCTTGGACGTCCAACACGCCACCTCCCTTTCGGGTTCCACTCGAGGGCTTGACGTGCGATGTCACCCAGTGGTCTCCTCAGCGAGTGACCGATCCATCTCCACTTTCTCCTGCATATTGTTGGGCGATTGGTTCTTGCTTTGTTTCTTCCCATAGTTTTTGTTGGTGATTCTTTCCGGCCATCTGATCTTCAGTGCAGAGCGAAGACAGTTGTTGATAAATGTTGCAACCTGTTGGAAATATTCTTTGTGACCCACCCGCCAAGTTTCTGATCCCTACAGACGAACTGACTTGACGTTTGTATTGAAAATACGAATTTTGTTGTTGATGCTGAGGGATGAAGATTTCCAGATTGATTTCAGGTTGATGAATGTGTTTCTCGCCTTCCGTTAAGATATATTCAAGTGAAATGGATCATATATAGATAGAATTCTTAAAAAGTAAATCATGTGATGATCAAAATGAAACCTTATTTTATCATTATAGAATAAAGCATCTAATGATAGTCAAATCTTTACCTCAACTTCATCGACTATGAAAAGGAATACCCCAAACCTTTATTAAATTTATTCAACAGCTATATAACAATTCCACATGTCAGGTGACGCACAAAGGAAATCTTAGAGCAACCTTCAGAGTGAAGACAGGAGTAAACCATAACTATCTACTATCACCTACGCTGATAATCCTAATTGTAGTTTATTAAAGGGAGCAAGAAAACAAGAATATTTTGAACCGATAGGAAGAGTGCAGACGATGTGAACTTCGTGGATGATTTATGTCTGATGTTACACAAACTCAAAGATTTACGTGCTCATAACTAATAATTCAGTAGAAACAGCAAACACGGAGAACACAGAGGTGATAAAAGCATCCCGGCAATAAACAACAACAGACGCCAACCACTATCAACGGGAGAACATTGAAAGAGGTTACTTCCCCCACTTATCTGAAAACGTCTGCCTCGGTTTAACTACGGATGACAGCACGGATGAAGATGTGAAAACCAGTCAGAATCTGAAGGTCGCGGCAGACCTTGGTCACTGTCAAATCAGTTTGGAAATCTTACGCACTCAGTGCAGGGAATAGGATTCGAAATTTCAACACCAATGTTAAGCCAGTTAGTTATTTTGTATGTGACAGAAACCTGGCGATGCGTCACGATAAGTATTTGCAACCGGCTATTGCAGACTTTTATCATTTGCTCCCTTCGCTGGCTTCATACTGAGGATCAGATGGAGGACTACAAAAGGATAAGCGAGTAACAACGAACCCTTAGAAATAAGCAACCAACAACCTATTGTCTAACAAATATATGTAGACGAAAATGGAGGCAGATAAAACACACGTTGTTGTAGTCGTTGACTGACATCGTGCGCCAGGCTGTGGAACCTGGATGAAAAACGAGGAGATGGACGTGTTTCCAAGAGTGACATGAAGGAGCGAGTTTGGGGAGGAGATGAAGGCTTATGCAGTGGATCCATTAGAAGAAGACTAGAGAGAACAAGGTGGGATGTAGATGTTCTGCTGAAGCCCTGTTTTCCACCCGGGAGCCACAAGAACAAATGTAGAAATACATTGTTTTAAGTCTAAGAAATATTCATTTCGCAAGTTACCACTGACCTGTTTGCACCTGACTGATTGCTGCTGGTTAGAATCATGAAAGAAACGTTAGTTCCTTCCAATTTACAAACACGCCTTGCTGATGCCTTTATAATAAGCCTTATAACTTGGTAGAGGGCATTCATCTATTCAAAGTGAATTTCGACAGACTACGTAGGTGCTCCATCAACACCTTTTTATTTTTTTTGTGAAATCAAATTTTTTTATTATTTATTATTTTATCCTTTAGTTCCTAGAGGAACATAGGGCTTCAGCTGCGCGTCTCCATTGCCTTCTGTCCTCTGCCAACTTTTTCACTTCGCTCCAAGTCCGCCCACACGCTTTCATCTCCTCCTCGCATGACCTCCTCCAAGTCACCCTTGCACTAACGACCAACTCTCCGCCTCCCTTTCGGCCTCGTTCCACTCGAGCAATGGCTTCTCTAGTGATGTCACCTGATGCTTTCCTCAGAGTATCGCCTATCCATCTCCACTTCTTCTTGCCTATTTGTTTCACAATCGGTTCCTGCTGTGTTGGTTCGCTCATTGCCAGAGATCCCTGTTGCTGATCTTTTCTGGCCGGCCATCTGATCTTGAGTAGTATTGAGCGAATACAGCTGTTAATGAAGGTGTGTAGTTTGTTTGAGATGCTCTTTCTGACGCGCTGGCCAAGTCTCTGATCTGTATAGAAGCACTGACTGACTTCACATTGGAGTTGAAAATCTGGATCTTATTTTTGATACTGAGTGCTGTTGACCTCCACACCGACTTGAAAGTAATGAAAGCTTGTCTTGCTTTTCCGATCCTCGCTTCTTTGATATCCTCGTCAGTTCCGCCTGCAGTTGAAACGATGCTTCCCAGGTGGGTAGGTAAAGGAGGTTGTTTCTTTTAGGTTCCTCCCATTTATGCTGATTGTTGTCTGTTGTTGTTGCTGTTTCCGGTGGCCAGGAATCTTTATCACCTCTGTATTCTCTATGTTCACCTGAAAGAAGGCCTATCTTCTCTGGATGCTTCTTCTGCCAACTTGATGCTTTTCACTTGCATGTCTTCCACTTTGTGGGAATTCAGACATATATCGCATCGGCGAATCCAGATCCTCCAAGTTTTTGTGTGAGTCCATTTTATGCCTGTTTCCTCATTGCTGGTTGTCTGTCGCATTGTCCAATCTACTGCAAACAGGAAAATCATTGGTGATAGTAGGCAGCCTTGTCTCATTCCCGTCCTCACTTCGAAGGATTCCGTAAGTTTCCCGTTGTGGATTACTTGGCATGCACCATTGTTGTATAACTGTTGGATGAAATGTATAATTGTCGATGGCACCCCGTAGTAGCGAAGTAGTTGCCAAATGACCTCTCGATCGACGCTGTCGAATACCTTTTCAAAGTCAATGAAGCTGAGATAGAGAGGTGACTGCCATTCCAAGCTTTGTTCAATGATGAAGCCTAGTGTTTCTTATAAAAGAATCATTTAGTGACTCTGTTAATTTCTAACACTTCAAGGCTTTTAGCCTAAGAAATCATAGCTGACAAATGAACAACTACCAGACACCACAGTATATTGAATAACCAGTTTATTTTTTTATAACATTTTTATCAGTAGACAATTTTAACACCTTCAAAGGCCTAACTCTTGAATATTCCAATGAGAGATATGAGTGTTTCTGTTTTATGCATTGATTAAATTACAGACAGCCACAACACCAGTCTTGGCTGAGATTGACAGCCAGCCTAATTGTCTCTATTGGAATTTGGATTTCGTCATTTAACATCATATATTGATCGATGTGAAATTAAAATTACACTCATAGTGAACAAAATTCTTCAGTTTCTAAATTTCAAAGCAGACTAAAGGCTTTCATAAGAAGCAGTAACTGATATTAACCCCGTCACCAACTGATATAACCTCATTGAGAGTTGATACGACCGACAAGGACTTAAATTGAACGCGATGGACAACTCAAATAAGATATTCGATACGCCTATTCATCGTTAGTACCTTTTGATTCACTGAGTCATTTAAATATCAAAAACACAAAGGCTGACCTGCGACTGTTAGGATACAGACGGCCGACCGATAGTGACAACGATGAGTAAGGCAACAACACACAGGCATACTGCGACAATCATTAATCAAACAAAATATATGGTATATGTAGATTACAAAACCTCAGGAATTGAAGCCATAAATAAACAAATCTGGATGCCCTGTCAAGGACAAAGGCCTGGAAAAAGATGATGAGATTTTACAATAAGAGATCTAAGGTTGTCCGATCCACAAGATGAATTCTGCAACCACTGACTTCAAATATTGGTTACTGTGTTTTAGCTGCTTCCTATCAGTAACAGTTTTATTCCTGAGTGTTGGTGCAAATTTTAACCAGCTAAATTATAATCAATAATGAAATTGCACCATTACCATTAAAAGAAAATCAATGTATTTCTCATAATACTTCCATATTCCTACATTTATTATCGTTATTATTATTATTATTAACAATGCAGTGTCTTTACCGACTGAATGAAAAGTCTCCAACTTATTGCTTTTTTGTCTAATTTTTCTAACATTCCTCTAAAGGAAATGATAATGCAAAAAGCGAAAGATGAACTCATTGAAGAAAGACGCAAAGAACTTCATAACAGAGAAGATCATATCAGGAAACGAGCACCTCCATTCGATATTGACGGTTTAAACGAAAGTAAGATATTAAAAAACTGACATGCTCTTAAAACTTATTTCTAAATACTTTAAGTTAGTTGACTTATTCTACAAATCATTATTAAAAATCAAATTTATCAATAAACTTAACCATTAGTTTAACAGTCGTAAGTGAAACTCAGAAACGAAGTTAAACACATCAGAAATCTCAATAACATCGAAGTGTTGTATATATTAGTTTGTTTGAGAATAAATGAATTTTTATCAAATCATTTCAAGGTTGACATCTTCATAAACTGACATCATTCAGAGGATCATTTGAAACTAGAAAGCAGTGGATAGCTGTTTCGTCCCAGTTTGGGACTCTTCAGTCGTAGTTACCTATGTATGAACCAACCCACTAGGTGAGTATAAAAGAGCTTGCCTAGTAACCTGAAGATGTTGGATTCCATCCCCAGCGTTATCATAACTGCCAGACAATGAAGAGTTGTAAGCCAGGACGAAACGGTTGTCCAATTTCCCTTGGTTTTTAAGGACTCCCTAACTGACTCCACTTCACAATGAAATCTGTCTTAAAGTTCATTAAATCTTCACAAAACTGAATACAGAAAAATATCAGCTAACTACTTAAAAGTGTAAATTTTATTCAAAGTGCCTTTAAAAATACTGTCGAATACTTTTGAAACAGTTATAATTTCCTTACCTAATTTACAATATAGGAATATATCTGTTTATGCACGAGTTTAGAGATACTATTGACTTATATAAAAGGATGAGTGTTCTGCCATGAATAAAGAAATAATTAAATATGGACACATTCTGCAGAACCGAACTCAGACGACTGACTTTTCTGTTGCTTACCATTTACGCAGTGATATACAAATGTGTTATACTTGCAGCGTGATTATCTCAGCATTTTATCTTGGTATTATTTCAAAACGTATTGGATAAGACATTCAAATATTCAGCCACCAGATGGATAATTCGAAGTAGGATTTTCAAAAACATTCACACCGTCAACGTTGAGACAGTATACAACAAGGTGGTTGACATCAATAAAACAGCATAATGAGAAGGAAGGGAATAGGTGAATACATTTTTGATATAGTAAAGGATAAATACATAAGTATCGCTGTGAGGAGTTTAAGATAGTGTTAAGTTGCGTAACCTGTGTCAATTAGGACAGCTTTTAAAACTTGTGACAGAACGATAATGTCCAACCATCAAATCTCGTCTTTCATTTTTAAATATTTAATAATAATAATAAACAGCTTTATTTCAAACAGTATTTGTGGTACAGTTATGGAATTTTCAGGGTGCATTACAATATATTCCATCTAATTACCTCATACATTTTATAAGATTTCAAAATCAAAAAGCAACGACCGAAAAAAGAAAAAGAAAACAGCGTTGCGTTTACATTTTAAACAATGCACCACAGGATATAAAGTATAAGATTGGTGTATAATACAAGATAAGAACAACAGTGTAATAATAATGAGGAAATTATTATTATTATTATTGCTCCCTTGGGTTCCTAGTGGAACATAGGGCTTCAACTGCACGTCTCCACTTGCTTCTCTGTCTTCTGCTGTACTTTTCATCTGCATCCATGTTAGTCCATATTCTTTCAACTCCTCTTCACACGATCTCCTCCATGTCACCCTTGGACGTCCCACACGCCGCTTCCCTTTCGGGTTCCACTCGAGGGCTTGACGCGCGATGTCACCCAGCGGTCTCCTCAGCGAGTGTCCGATCCATCTCCACTTTCTCCTGCATATTTGTTGGGCGATTGGTTCTTGCTTTGTTTGTTCCCATAATTCCTTGTTGGTGATTCTTTCCGGCCATCTGATCTTCAGTATAGAGCGAAGACAGTTGTTAATAAAGGTCTGCAACCTTTTGGAAATATTCTTTGTGACCCGCCAAGTTTCTGATCCGTATAGAAGAACTGACTTGACGTTTGTATTGAAAATCCGAATTTTGTTGGTGATGCTGAGTGACGAAGATTTCCAGATTGATTTCAGGTTGATGAATGTGTTTCTCGCCTTCCCGATTCTCGATTTGACATCCTCGTCCGTTCCTCCTGTAGTTGAGACAATGCTCCCTAGATAAGTGAATGAAGTAACCTCTTTCAAATCCCTCCCGTTGATGGTGATTGACGCTGGATGTTGCTGCTGTTGTTGTTGTTGGTTGGTTATTTTCATAACCTCCGTCTTGTCTATGTTCACCTGGAGTCCTGTCTTTGCTGCTTCTTCGACCAGTTTGTCGGTTTTCGCTTGTAAGTCTTCGATTTTGTGTGACATCAAACATAAATCATCCACGCGCGAAATCCAGGTCTTCTAGGTTCTTCACGTCGGTCCAGGATATTCCTGTCTTCTCGTTTCCCACTGTCTGACGCATAATCCAGTCAGTCCACCACAATTAGGAATATCATTGGTGATAATAAGCACCCTTGTCTGACTCCTGTGTTTACTCCAAACGCCTCGCTGAGTTTTCCGTTGTGGATCACTTGACATGTGCCGTTGTCGTACAGCTGTTGAATAAGGTTGATGAATATTTGGGGTACGCCATAGTACTCGAGTAATTTCCAAATTACTTCACGATCAACGCTGTCGAAGGCCTTCTCAAAGTCTATAAAGTTGAGGTAGAGGTTTGATTGCCATTCCATGCTTTGTTCTGTGATGATGATGCGTAGAGTTGCAATTTGGTCAGTACATGATTTGCCTTTCCTGAATCCAGCTTGTTCTGGTCGGAGTTCTGTCTCCAGTGCGTCCTTTAATCTCTCCAGGATGATGCGACTCAGGATTTTACTTGGCGTCGATAGGAGCATGATTCCTCGCCAGTTCTTGCAGAGTGAGGCCTAAGTCGCCCTTCTTTGGTAGTTTCACGAGGTAACCTTTCCTCCAGTCAGTAGGCACCTTTCCCTCCTTCCAGACCTTTTGCAATAATGGAGTCAGCATGTCTGCTGTCGTCTCTGGGTCTGCTTTCAGTGCTTCAGGGGGTATTCCATCTGGTCCGGCTGTTTTTCCAGCTTTCAGAAGTTTGATTGCGTTCAAGACTTCAGCTCTCGTTGGAGGATTGGTGTCAACTTGCAGTTGTGTGCGCGCTGTTGTTGGTATTTCTGGACGGGTTGCAGGTGATGGTCGGTTCAAGAGTCCTTTGAAGTGATCCGCCCATTGTTTAATCTGTTTTTCTTCCTTGGTAATTGGGTTCCCTTGGCTGTCTTTTATAGGTTTCGCTTGTGTTGATCTCTTCCCGGATAGAGATTTGGTTATCTGATATAGTGTCCTCAGGTCCCTTTTGCCTGCTGCCTTCTCAGCTTCAGTGGCGAGGTTGTCGTAGAATCGTCTTTTGTCCTTCCTAGCACTCTTCTTCACTTCTTTGTCCAGTGCTTTGTAAGTTGAGCTCATCGTCTCCTTCTCCTGTCCGTCCTTGCATTGAATCATTTTCTCTTTCACCATTCTCCTCTCTTCTATTAATTTCCAAGTGTCCGTTGAGAGCCATTCCTTGTCTTGTCTCTTCTTTCTTCCTAGAACCGTTGAACACGTTTCGTTGAGAATCGCCTTCAGAGACTTCCAATGTTCTTCCACGCATGATTCTTCAGTGATGTCGCGTAGTGTTTCCTGCTTTGCTCTGACAGTTGCAGTGAAAGTGTCTTTTGTGGTTGTGTCCTTCAGTAATTGAGTGTTGAACTTGCATTGTGGCCTATCCCCAGCTATCCTCGAGGCTTTTAGTTTCACCTTGAAAGTCCCTTCTACTAGATAGTGGTCTGAACCCACATCTGCTCCTCTCCTTGACCTTGTGTCCAGTAGGCTCCGTCTCCACTTTCTTGAAATTGAGATGAAGTCTATTTGGTTCTTGGTGTTTCCATCTGGTGAAATCCATGTCGTCTTGTGTATATCCTTGTGTTTGAACACACTGCCACCAATCACCAAATCATTGAAGGCGCAGAAGTCTGAGAAGAGTTCACCATTGTCGTTCATTTCACCGAGGGCCTCACGACCCATGGTGAGTTCTCTTCCTGTGTTGTCTCCTCCCAGCTTCGCATTCATGTCGCCCATCAGGATTTTGATATCGCCATTTGGGACGTTGTCCATTATTGCTTGTAGTTGTCTGTAGAACGCCTCCTTCTTCTCTTGTTCTGAGACGTTTGTAGGCGCATAGCATTGAATGACTGTAACTTTCCTTCCTTTTGAGTTGAACCTGGCTGTCATTATCCTGGAGGAGATTGGTTCCCACTGCATGAGAGCTTTGGTTGCTGTTGGTGACATCATGATGGCCACTCCCTCGGTGTGCTCATGGTTGTCCTCTGGGTGGCCGGAATAGATTACTGTCTCTCCAGTAGGTAGTTGGCACCTTCCAGTTCCGTTCCATCTGCTCTCGCAGATTCCCAACACTTCTATTCTGTACCTTCTCATTTCAGCGGCTATCTGGGCAGCCTTTCCAGTTTCGTACATTGTGCGAACATTCCAGGTACCCATCCTTACTTTTGCTTTCATCGAAAGAAGGCACATCGGCTGACTGGCTTCCCGAAGGCTTTCACCAGCCTGCGTCATTTCACTTCCCCGATTCCAGCGAAAAATAAGGCTATTGTTTATGCTTTTAGAATTTTTAATATATTTATTCGTTGAAGTTTCTGTAGCGATTTGGTTGTTTTAAGGGGGTGAAGTTGATAGCACCACGCCAAACCCTCCCTCTTTACCCGGGCTGGTTTGAGGCGTGGTGCTATCAACTTCACCCCCTTAAAACAACCAAATCGCTACAGAAACTTCAACGAATAAATATATTAAAAATTCTAAAAGTATAAACAATAACCTTATTTTTTGCTGGAATCGGAGAAGCAAATGACGCAGGCTGGTGAAAGCCTTCGGGAAGTCAATCAGCCGATGTGCCTTCTTTCGATGAAAGCAAGGAAAGTAATAAGGAAAGGAAAACAAAAACTAATGGGACTATTTGTTAGAGTGCCGCAGTAAGTTGATCGTGTCATACCTAACGGGTTTCTCATCACATAACAGCTGTACCAGATATGGTATTGTGGAATTTCTGTACTTGGAAGTCCTACCATATAGCCTCCTATAGCTGCTTCTTGTTCTACCAGATGAAATGCAAGGAGCCAGCTGCGTATAGAGAGGATGCTCGGAGTCTGACAATATTGTATTCTCTAGTTTCTTACATGACATTATATGTCTATCCACAATAGTATTAACCAGTTGGTCTAACGATATCCCACTTGCCCTACTAACGGCTTTTAGTGTCCTTCTCAGCAAAGCTAAGTCTTTCTTAAGTAGTCCAGGAAAGATTAATGGGGAGCAGTAAAGGGGGGTGGGTAGAATACAGAAATTTACAAACTGAGAAAGCAAAGACTGCTTCATACCAGATTGCCTTAACTTCCTAACTTAGAACGTTAAGCAAAACATATTTCTAGTAACTAGCAAGTTGTGGGAGAACCAGGAAAGATCGAAGGAAATACTCAGCCCAAGGTACTTGACATTGGATGTATTTTCAACCTCTGTGCCGTCAATGATAGTGGGGCCATGTGAGCTAACTAGTTGTTGTAGGTCACGTTTATGTCTGAAAGTGAAATTGACTACCTGACATTTAGACGGAATAAGTTTAAGTCCGTTTGAAGAGGACCACTGACTAATTTCCGACAGAAAGCTATTTAATTTGGAACAATCTGACTGAGAGTTGACAGGCATAGAAACCGAGAGGTCATCGGCATACTTAACAAAAGTGGCTACATTAGAGTGAAGCAAGTCATGTAAGAAAAAAGAAAAGAGAAAAGGAGAAAGAACAGCACCTTGAGGAACACCAGCTAAAGTAAGTGAGGTAGTGGAGGACTTTCCATTTTAGACGGCGTACTGCTTTCTATCAGAAAAATTGGAATGTAGCCACTTATTTGTCCAGCTCTCAGCCTGTGTTGCAGCAAGCTTACTTAGCAAGAGACACCTAGGAACAGAGTCAAATGCAGATTTATTCCAAATCAACAACTACAACTGCTAATACCTATCCGGGAACTTCAGATCTTATTACTATTCGATTAAATTCACCTATAATTTGTACCGTTGTAATCAACCCAAACGAAAAAAATTATATCAACTGGTTAAAATGGAAGTTTGCCTTTTTAAGTTGTTTACTGATCAGGTAGAAAAATTCAAGTTTCATAAGTTCCTTCAAGATTGCATATATGCCTTACTGACGACTGCCTACAAGCCTGGAACCTAGGTATGCCTTAGGCTTCCAGCAGACTGTCTCCAGTCATCTTACAAAAATTCATTTACAGAGTGAAAGTGAATCAGAATAACAAGTATAGAATCGAGTCATAAGAAAGCACTTCAAGTGCGTCAAACCGTTTTTTGTCTAAATTACTAATGTCCCAATATATTCAGAAGTATGAAGATTTAAATTCCACTTCATACTGTCACCTCATAACCTTATCAGATAGATTTCTTTTAGAAAACCTGCTGTTAAAAGAATGAGGTAAATTCACTTAAATATGCTAGTTTCCCACCATCTGTGTACAACAGATACAAGCATAGCCTTTTTCACCTCTTTAGACGAATTTACTTTCAAACACTATGTGAAGCAAAGTTACATAACATACTTAAATAATCACAGTGTACTAACCAGAATTGAATCACAAATACAAACCGATTTACACTTTTGCCTACAGTTATTTTACCGCTCAAATTAACTTGAATACACAAATCTTCTGTGCGTTCATCACTAAATGGTAGAATCCTCACCAGCCAACCAGGAACTTCTGCGCCCATCACAGACCAACACACTGCTAAACTTCTTCTAGTCTACGGTCCGGGAGTTGGCCTAAAAAAGACTGGGTGGGTGGGTGTAGGACTAGCAGCTGAACCAAATATACAGAAGCAAAACCACTGTTCCTGAAATTTCAAAAGCTTGAAACCCACTTGTTCCATTCGGAAAGCAGATAAAAACAGAGAAAACACACATACCTTATCATAAACCCTTGAAAAGCAGGTTCCAGATATGTGGATATGTGGTGATTAGGAAAACGGATGAAACATGGGTTTATTTTCCTCAACTCTTTTCAGTGTAAATGAGTTACTGGATTTGTAATCCCCCGAGATGAGACTTATCTTAATTAGAGATGGAAGGATTTTTGTTTTCTTCAACTTATTTTTGTCAAACATATGCTAGTAAAATATAAACTTATGTTTCTCTTCGTATAATTTAGCTCAACTCCAAGAAAAATTGAAATCATGGCATACATATATTAAAGATTTGGAATCCCAAAAATATGACTGGGAGTTAAGATTGCGTAAACAAGACGAAGAAGTAAGTCATAAATATATATATGTACATCAAAATAAGCAGTTAATAATATTGTGGAACTTGTGAAGCTTAGTAGACTAAATAGAGTGTATAGTCTGCTTAAACTCAACTAATATGAAGTCTAGAATTTGGTTATTTTAACAATTTGAATTATCCGTCATATGAACTGTACCCCGAACCTTTATCAACCCCATTCCACATATCAAGTGACCTCTACAATAGAAAACTCAGCAAAATCTTTGAAGCTAAGATAAGAGTAAGACATGACTGCTTACAATCACCTACAATGATATCCCTTCTTGTAGTTGACGGGAGGCAGCAAGAAAACAAGGATATGCTGGACCGATAAGAAAACTGTAAAAGAAATGAACTTCGTGGATGATTTATGTCTGATGTCACACAAACTCGAAGACTTACGGTTCGAAAATCAACTAATTGGTAGAAGAAGCACAAACACAAGAATCCTAGCAAACATAGAGAATACAGGGGTGATAAAAGCACCCATTGATAAACAACAATAGGCATCAATCACTATTAGCGGGAGAAGTTTGAAAGAGGTCACTTCCCTCACTTATCTGACATATTCTGCATTGTTTTAACGACAGGCAATAGTGAGAGTGAGGATTTGAAAACCAATGAAGATCGGAAAGACGAGGCAGACCTTCGTCACTGTACTCAGTACAGGGAATAGGATTCGAATTTTCAACACTAATGTTAATTTAGTCAGTTCTTCTACATAGTGCAGAAACTTGGCGCGTCACGGAAAACATTTTAACGGTGTGCAGACTTTTATCAACAGCTGCCTTCACTGGTTCGATACCGAAGATCACATGCTCAGAAAAGATTAACAACAAGAAACTGAGTGAATGACCCAACCGGGAGCATATTACACAAAAAAAATGCAGAAAAAAATGGAGATGGATTGGACACACGATGACGAGACGTTTAAGTGACACCATACTCCTGGTCGCCGAATGGAATAAGAATGTAAAATGACGAGTTGGGCGTTAATCCAAGGGTGACATGTAGGGAAGGGTGTGAGAAGGAGGTAAAAGGCTATGGACATTCGTAAAGCCCACTAAAGACAATTGCAGAGAACACGACAAAATGGAGATGTGCTTTAAAAGCTCAGTGTTCCACTGGGGACCCGAAAAAGTAATAATAATAACTAAATGGATGAATCGCATCGGTGGCATAGCGGTTAGGACGCTCACCGACCATACACAATGTGCGGAGTTCGATCCCCGATCGACGAACTCCCTTACCTCGCTAAGCCAGAAATAATTGTGGTAAAGAGGAAAGGTCGGGCATGAGGCTAGCAACCCCATCCTGTAAAATAAACACTGCTACAGAAACTTCAAGTACCTAGCTTGATGCCCTATGTTCCACTAGGAAACGTGAAGGAGAATAAAAAAACATAAATGTATTACGTAGTTATATTGCCCAACATCCAGTTTCCCAAAATTTGATAATTGCTAGACAGTTGTTAATCAACTATGTGACATTATATCATCTAACCACATAATTACACAAATTTTGTCTTCATCTTCCAGTTGCCATTTGGAAATAAAGATCAGAATGCTACTTGCTACTTGTCAATAGGAGCTGTGACTACCAATCTGGATTCCTAATTTTAAATCAGTAGATAAGGATTTCCAACCACTCTACCTTTGACAAGGTTTATGAAGTGATGTCATAAAATGTAGATAGGACTGAAGGTGACTGCCAACAGCTTATCTGAAATAAAAGTTTAAGGCTGAGGTGGATGGAACTACTGAAATGTATACCATAATAGATTCACGACGATCACTTTGTTAATGATAAGTGACATTCCCAGTCTAAAATAAACCTGACCCCAAAGTGTTTGGTTTCATGTTTCTTCTGATTGCATATGGTTGCAAGTATTCTACAGCAAAACTTCAGGCATCTTTTTTAAGTATTGGTTTTTTAGCGATTTCGTTTGATTGCATGGAGGATTTTACCATGAGCTGACATCAGTTAGAGAACCACCGGAAAACCTGGAGTATTGGACAGCTGTTTCATCCCGGTTTGGGACTCTCCATTAGTACCCCGGGGTATGAGCCCAGGGTCCCAGTAGCTCAATGATCTACGAGCTCGCCTTGTAACCGGAAGGTCATGAGTTCGAACTCTGAGGGTGGGTGGTGCATAATGGTAAAGAGTCTCAAACCAGGACGAAACAGCTGTCCAGTACTCCCAGGTTTTCCAGTGATTCTCTAACTGATGTCAGCTCGTGGTAAAATCCTCCAAGCATCTTTTTTAAACTGTACTGCCTTTATTAACAAGATATATTTTAAATTTTGATAGATCTGCTGTTTGGAGGAATTCACCATGAACTGACATCGGTTAGAGAACCATTGGAAAACCACCAGGGAGTACTAGACAGCTGTTTCATCCTGGTTTGAGGCTCTTCATCATTATGCACCCACCTCGAGGGTTGGAATCCACGACCTTCTGGTTACAAGGCGAGCTCGTAGACCATTAAGCCGCTTAACCCCATTCAATGGCCAACCCATGAATTCTAACTTCCGCCAATTCTGCCATTTCTAGTGGAAAGCCGTGACCACTAGGGTGCAGCAGGTTGAAGGTGAGCCAATAACTCATCAAAGAAGACAAAGAGAAGTGGTCGCGATATGTCGTGAATTGGTTGACGTCGAAATTCATGGGTTGGCCAGTGGATCAGGTCCCAGTGGCTTAATGGCCTATGAGCACGCCTTGTAACCTAGATGGTCCTGAATTCTCACCCTGGAGGTGGGTACTTCCTGATAAGGAGTCACAAACTAGGACGAAACAGCTGTCCAGTACTCCCTGGTGGCTTTCCAATGGTTCTCAAACTAATGTCAGCTCATGATGAAATCCTCTAACCAATCAAACAAAATCGCCATAAAAATTAATACTTGAGAATAGATCTGTTGTGCTGAGTGAAATTAGAACCCGCAATATCCTGTGATACAGCTCTGGGTATGATTTTGTATTCAATAGTTTGTCTGTTGAGTTTTTGTAAAGACTGATTAACTTCAACAGCGAAAAATACTTGAAATTAAGGAGTATTAGATAGTCTTATCCTTCCATTATGGGATTTTTGAGTAGCATGCACCGTTTGAAATCATTTGTTACACATTTAAAATATTTACTCCCAATAATTACGCCATACAAGTTTTTGGTTCATATCCCTTTTTCTTTTAAGTGTCAGTTTACAAAGTGGTGCACTTAATTAATGTCCATTTATTCCCTTTCCGTCTTATGTAGATTAATGACTTGACAGCTCAACTGTGTGCTATCAAAGGTCACTTGTAAGTCAAAAATTATCATAAAATCAAATTAACTTCATTTTGTTGCTTTTTTCGAAATTTACTCACAAGGAAAGTCGTACTTAATTCAACTGTATAGAGTATTAATTGAGTAAACTCTTAGGTTATCCATCTTGTGCAGTATTTCCTATAAAAACATATTTTCTTGATTCACACCCTCTTATCAGCATCTTCAAGTAGTACAGAATGTTAATTAAAGAGGTGTCGCAAATTAATATATTGTTTTTAAATTATGAGTAGTAATCGCTGAATACTGATAGGTATAGCTCTTCAACTTCTACTGTTCCTTTAAATGTTTCAATGGAGTGTGGTATATACACAATATTCTAACAAACAGAACAATACTGTGTACCATAAATTGTGTTAAACATCAGAGGTTAATCTTCGTGAAACTATAAAATCAGTTTTATTCCAGCCGACAATCATCAGTAGGATGTATTTGCAGCTCCAACTGTAATATCTCCGATTCGAACAGTGAATTTCTCACTGACTCACTGTCACTTTCAAGCATTAAAGGAGTCTGAAGTTTTGAACTGCAGATTGATGACCAAGTTAGTTTGATTACTCCGATCAGTACTTGTAGATGTTTAATGATAGAAATGGTGGTGCTTATGCGTACATGCATCCACAAACAATCAGGGAGACGTTCTCAAGAATGTTTAGGAAGTGAGACAAAGTTGTGTGAAACGTACTCAACAAGCAGTCACGCCTGTAAACATACAATGATGAAATAAAACACTAGTGTGAAAACATTAGACGATTTGAAAGATAAAATACTTTTTCAGAAAAACTCAAGAGATATCAACAAAGAATTTTAGTCCCACTAGAAGGATTTTTCTAGGATCTAGTTGGAAAAAACTTCAGCCAATTTAACGTAAGATTAGAATTTCAACACTGTGGTAGAATACAATTTCATATTAAGCAAACTTATTTGGCTGAGTACACAGTGGTGAAGCGTGAATAACTGAATGATACTTCGAGCACAATCCATTGCTCAAAACACATCGACATGAAGGCCTATTGTTGACTGCCTCCAACCATCTAATAACAATAGTCCACAGTACACTATGATGGCTAGCCATCTAGAATGGTTGTCACATTGCAAAACCTAACTGACAGTATTCAATCTGCACCAAACAAAGGATTAAATGCAAGACACCAGTTCAATCAAAGAAACTTATCTTTTGCCTGTTGTCTTGATTACCATTTATAATATCAAGCAGATGATATATTGTGATCGGAATAACTTTGTTTCCAAAGGAAACCACACTTAAATCTCACCACTAACCAATTTGCAAATTGTATAAATTAACCTTTATTCATGTGTGCATTATTTTTGCAGTCAGTTCCGCCTATTTCTTGTATTATTTTCAAACACAAACAAACATTGACTTATTCTTCTTCAATATATAAAACATTTAGCCAAAAACCAATTCTTCGTAGAGTTGCTAAGTCTACGACTAGAGAGAGATTGAGAGCAATGAGTGCAGCACCGAATTTTTCAGGCAAAACTGCACATCAAAATTTTGTTGAACTGAAAAGGAAAAAATCCGATACAAATCAACCGTTGGTAAGTCTATTCGACTTCGAAGTTGTGTTTGTTATATATGGGGAGATTTAATTTTACCTGTGCTTAAGTCTTTATTTCAGTGAGCCTAAATCATTCGTTTATACAAATGCAGCAAAAGTAATTTGAGTAGTGATATTGTTTTACGGCACTATATTGTTTCCAGCCCAGATAGAGACGCCATATTTATTCAGTGTGCTCTCTTACACCGTAAGACTGTTATAATTATAATTCTTATCTTAGTGCAACGGCAGAAGACGAGAGAATTTGTTAACAGAAATATTTGCTAGCGACTCAATATGGGTAAAAATGCACCTACTATATATTAGAATCAAAATTTGTGCATATCTTCGCTGTTGTGTCTCTTTGGCTTCCTTCTTCCATGTTTCCATGCTTTCTTCATAAGTATCGTTCATTAAATCCACCTCTCCTCTATTAGAAAATCTTGCAAATGATATACATATTTATATCTACACCTATACACTACTTATAAATCTTGTGAGTAGCACGCGCCACACTAGGGCAAATTTGTTATGGGGACTGACTTCAACATTCAAAGGGACCTGAGTCACAAAGTGGTTTTCTTCTTATTTTTCTGGGAGACAAGAGCAGATTGTCTGTAAAACAGGATCTTCACTGCTTTGCTCACTGAAGCCAGTGTGCCGAAAGGTGCTATACTTTATCCAAATGTTTTTTCTTTCTTTTACACGACTTACCGCATCCATCTAAAGAGAATTTCAGTAATTATCTTGGCGGTTTGGCATTCCTTGATCCAGCCTTTTCTGCATTACATTGCTGCCATATGAATAGTTTCCCCTCTGAATTCTAACAATGGTCTCCTGAGAATGATCCTAAATTTAACTCCTCCAAACATTAGACTGGTAATTTGAGTTTCAAGTGTGAGTAAGACGAATATGTAGTGCCTCAACTACATGATCCTTGTAATACCGGAATAACTGCTGTACCACACAAATCGATCATTCCTTATTCAGTAACAGTTTTTCTTTTGATTGTTGTTTTTTATCTCATATCATATTGCTTTCTAAAAGAAATCTTTATGAGGAAGTCAGGACTTCCCAGCGCAACTCTGCCTCTACTCTTGTCATTGATTAATTCGTGTATGCCGCTTATTCTTGTTTATTGTTCTCCAGTTGTTTCTTCTTAAGTTCATCAGAAGACACTACACCATATTAGATGGGATTTTGAAGGTGATAAATTCGGTTATTAGTATGCCATTGACCTCACTAACTGACACTGTTGTCGATAGACATTTAAATTCCAGCAAGAAGTTTGTCAGGGTAACTTTATTGGCTACTGAATACCTTCTCTAATCACAACTTTCTCCCTCATTATTTTCAGGAAAAAATGAAGGCAGTTTTTTACTACGGTCTGCGTTCGCATGGCTAAGTATAAAAACTCAACGATACTAGATTTAGCACAGATCTTGGAGAAAGAAATGTGGAATAATAGGTGATAAAGATAGTTTCTATTCCCTAAATAAGTAGCTAGTGTTCAGAAGCTTTCAACATATAAATTTCTGGCAGAGATAGTTTTAACTAAAATGAATATCAGTTCATAAGAACCGCCACTTTGATAGCTAGGTTACGTAATAGAACACAGATTCTTCAACATAAAAGAGAAACATGAAATTCTTTTAAATACTTGTTCTCCCTTATTGAACTTCAATCAGGTAAATCCATCGGTTCGCGTGGATCAAGACGGCACCATCAATTATTTCAAAGGTTTCTATGCAGCTGCTTACAACCCAGAAATTAAATTAATTATATGTAAAGGGAAATCTTAACGTACTCATCATGAGTCCAACTGAAATCACTGGAAGAAGAAGTAGGCGAAATTGCATCACAGCAAAAGGGAGTGTTAAAGGTCAGATATTACGCCACCAGACTGAAGGAGGAGTGAAGACATCGAGTTACTAGTATAACAACAGAAGACAAGGGCCAGGCAACAGATCGTTTTATTACGAAAATCAACACGTATCTATATATATATTTCACATACATTATTATAGCTTATGCAAGTAGACAAGCGCAGTTTTCTGGTTGGTTGTTTATCAGAAGTTAAGCAGACAAACGCAGGCTTCTGATTGGTTGTTTCGGGATTCAAGTGTTGGTTTGTAGGGATTTGATTGATTTCAGGATTTCATCATGAGCTGACATTAGTTAGAGAACCATTGGAAAACCTGGGAGTACTGGACAGCTGTTTCGTCCTAGTTTGGGACTCTTCAGCAGTACGCACCCACCGGGATTCGAACCCAGGACCTTCCGGTTACAAGGCGAGCTCGTATACCATTAAGCCACTGGGACCCGATCCAATGGTCCTTGAATTCTAACTTCTGCCAATTCACGACATAGCGCGACCGCTAGCCAATGTCTTCGGCGAGTATTTGTCCTCACACCCGACCAGCTGCACCCTACTGGTCACGACTTCCCACTGGAACCCAGGTAACTACCTACCTGAATAGGGCCAGTCGCCAGTGAGCATCTTATTGGTATTCAAGTGTTGGGATTCCTCGAAAAATAGAGTTCTCTATCTGCGAATCATATTTTGCCACGTTAAGTCTGCTGTGATTGGTTGTTGAATCAACCTTGTACATATTTTCTCACGACCTGCTCTCACCACAATAGGACAAGAAAAAACTGTTAAGTGCTCCTTTCTGAACACATAAGTTAGATTTTAGGCATCTGACAACATTCATTTAGGCAGACACGATGAGAATTGAACTGTGTTGTCAACTAATAACCCTAAGCAGCTTCAGAATGTTCACCTTATGATCCGTATTAACAAGATGGCTGACAATAGCACTAGTCAAGGCGTTTGTTCCTTTAAGATATAGGCTTTGAGGTACATGTTCAGAGAACTGTTACCACATACGCATGTGAAATTGTATGTACAGTTAAGGTTAATATGAAAAGTGTATCTGTTTACCTTTGATTGAGCTGAAGAAAGTGATGTTTGGTAAACGGGAACCAACATAAATTCAGGTTAGGTTCTGGTTGGTGAAGTATTAAATCTCCTATTGACTATACTTCCCGTATTATCAACCTTAAAATCGAGTTGTTTCAATAACTACTTGGTACCACCTTATTTTACACATTCTCTTGCTTTTGCTTTATTCAGAGATTACTTTGCATTTAAAATATCAAACCGGGAAGTAAGTATTACGTCACTGCTGAAATCATGAAACATCTTTAAGGTAGGATTAGTGTTGAATAATTCTCTCCGGTACGTTCCAAACCAGCTTACGAGTGATTAAAGAAGTTTCAGAGTGGAATAAACTACCTTGAGTTGCACAGTTATAGTTGTCACTTAAATAATACCTAGTTTGTAGTGAGATGAAAGTTATTCAATCACTCTTAAACAGCTTTCAGTTCACTGAGCATTGAATAAACTTATGTTAAGATTGCTTTAAAACAATCACACTAAACCATGTCAATGAACATAGTTCGAGTCCCACTAGGGATTTCCATTTTGAATCTAATTGCCAAAAACACATTTACTGTATGAGGGTTTATGATACTAGACTGTGGTAGGTACGACATATTTCCAACCCGGGACCCAAAGACTGAAAGTCAAGTACTTACAAAGGTCATTAGGTAGTTTTATTGACCCGTAGAATAACAAATGAATGGAAATATGCAACGTGTAATCAAACACCTGCCCCTATTATCAATAACAAAGAAGGCTTAATTAGATAACTAGTCTAAAATAATAATAATAACTTCGTATAACTGTTAAACTCATATTACATTAGAAATCACTTCTGTTTGAATAAACTCTACGAGTGTAACACACCAATGGTGTACAAATAATAAACTCTTCAAAATAATAATCATGAAATAAACTTTTTGACACAAAATACGACTAAGATCAAAGTAGATTTCGCCATGAATCAACATTAGTTGGGGAAATACTGAAATATAAAAAGTTCCGGATAGTCAATTCATCCTAATTTGAGAACACTAGACGCTAGAATATTTAAACTTTAGGGATAACTTATGTCTAACGTCACACAAACTCAAAGATTTACTGGAGAAAACAAATAAGTTGGCGGAAGAGACAACAAAGACGGAACTTCGGGTAAACATAAAGAACGCAGGGGTGATGAAGATACCAGACGACTAACAGGAACAGCAACAATAAGCACCAGTTATCATCAATAGGAGAAATTTAAAAGAAGTCGTCTCCTCCATTTGCCTGAGAAGCATCATTTAAATACAGGAGGCTTAAATGAGGATTTCAAAGTTAATCACAATCAGGGCGTTCATCATCCCTAAGTAGATGTGGAGGTTAGCAATGCTCAGCACAGCGGAAAAGATGAAAATTTTCAACGCTAATTTCATGGCAGTTAGAATATCTGTATGGCGAGTGTGTCACCAAAAGCATTTCGAAAAGGCTACTGCAGACTATAGTCAGCAGCTGCCGTACCTACATACTGAATGTCACATAGGTGGCCGGAAAGAATAAGCAACAAAGAACTCTGACCACAAAACAAGCAAAGACTTATCACGGAAGAAATACGCATAAAGAAATGGATTAGACATACACTAAGGAGACCACTAAGGGATACCATGAGCTAGGCCCGCAAGTGGGACCCGAATCGAAACAACTAGCTGGGCGTATGTCCCATGTTGTGGCGGAAGAGATCTCTCGAGGGGGGAATAGAAGCTTACGGTCAATCAATAAGCCAGGTGGGAAAGACCGTAGAGAACAGAATGAAATGAATTCGTGCTGCTGAAGCCCTAAATTCCACTAAAATTCCAATAGGACGAATAATAATAAAACCCGGAATGTATCTTTAGTATGCCTGGCACTGAGCCATACAGGCTAAGTAGGTGGGGTGGGATTCTAAGCAGAACCC